TGTACTTGGACCAGCTCAGGAGTTAGAGCTGAATCCTCCTGTCCAAATCACCCATCACCTTGTGTGTGCGTGTGTGTGTGTGTGTGTGTGAGTGTGAGAAATTGTAAAGCGCTATATGTATGTATCTATGTATGTATGTATGTATGTGTATATATATATATATATATTTATGCAGCCATTTGTCATGTATTTGATCAGCAAATGGACTGTGTCTGTCTGTGTTTACAGGAAGAGGAGTTAGACTCTACTACATTGGAGGGGAGGTATTTGCTGAGTGCCTCAGTGATAGCGCCATCTTTGTCCAGAGTCCAAACTGCAACCAGCGGTATGGCTGGCATCCAGCTACAGTGTGTAAAATTCCTCCAGGTAAGATGCTGAAGATGCTACTTGTGTAGCACTCTGACAGACTAACAGTGAGGTCAGTGCTGATTGAACAAAAGCAAATTATAGACTGGATAGCTTCTGGGCTTGAACATGTGGAGCTCTTTGCATGTAAATGAAAGATGATTCTGAAGACCTTACATAACCAGCCGACCCACCATACTGAACACTGAATGAAGATTTATGAAGGTGTACAGAACCAAAAGTGTGCTGTGTAGGCTTGAAAGGTGCCTCTGAAAAGTTTGAAGTTGGTAGCTATCATCCATCGGATGCAAAGGTCACTGCAAAAAAAAAACGTTCCAAGCGTATCGGTGTCCATAGAAACCTTTTCCAAACCACTTCTGCAGTACAATGCACTTTCATGTTTGAGTTTTTTTAATTTTTTTTAAAGGCATTGTAAAGTTAAGCTTAAAGGTGAAAAGGAAATTAAAGCCATGCTTAATGATTGAAATCACTGATAGGGTGAAACAGCCCATCTGAGCTCACATTGTCACCTACTGGTTCTGATGCTGCCTCGGCATGTTCATGCCGCCCAACTGCCAGCAGTTAAGGCCAACTACAGCCACACACCACAAAAACTCTGAACAATAATTAGGCCAAATGTCAGCTTGGTATGTCAAGGCCCTAAGATTTTTATTTTTCTTTAAGAATCACTGGGGAAACCCACATTAACCACTGGTCTGTTTACCTCTTTGTTCCTTCTAGGCTGTAATCTAAAAATATTCAACAACCAGGAATTTGCAGCCCTGCTTGCTCAGTCTGTCAACCAGGGCTTTGAAGCGGTCTACCAGCTCACCAGGATGTGCACCATCCGCATGAGCTTTGTCAAAGGCTGGGGAGCCGAGTACAGGTGAGCCCCCGCCAACTGTACTTTATTTGAACACTTGAATTCAAATATTCTATATTCACATTTTAATTAGTAACGTGGAAAGCACTTTACTAATTTTGACTGTTTGTGCCAGTGTATAATTGTTTACCTGTCAAGACATGGAAAATTGATCTGAAACTTATAGTTAAGGAACTGATTATGAGGATGCCTCACAAACTCTCCAGTAGTAGCATCGCTTTGAGAATTTAGCTTCTGTCATTAATGACAGCATAGGGGTGTTTATTGTTAAGATAAAAATCCTCCCACTCCCAAACAAGAAAGTTTCAAGTGGAGACCTACAAACCACGACACCCTCTTCCTAGCAGCACTCATACATACTGTGCATAATAAAGCACAGCATGAATCATCATAAGTTATGTGTTGTAAATGCTACGTTTAGCGCAGCCCAGGTGTTGATAAGTATGTCTCTGTTCTCCAGGCGGCAGACTGTCACAAGCACTCCTTGCTGGATCGAGCTGCATTTGAACGGTCCCCTGCAGTGGCTGGACAAGGTTCTGACCCAGATGGGTTCCCCGTCTGCACGCTGCTCCAGTATGTCCTAAACAGCTATGGAAACGCCCCCCAAAAAAGCAGCCCATTACATTATCATTAAATTCTAAACTTGTGAGTCCTTTCATGAAAAAAAAAAATGGAAACCCCACAGAATGAATTTTCTGTAACATTCTTCATAGTATTTGTGGCCCAGTTCCACATCCCTCTTTTAACTTTACACACACACACACACACACAAACAAACGCACCCACACTGTCGCACTCACATACACACACATACAGACTTTTCAGTAAAGAATTTGGCACTTTGTTACCCATCGATGTCATGCACCTTGTTAAATTGCTTTTCCCCAAATCCTTAATATTAGATCTATTTGTGGTACAAATAAAATGTATATTGGTTTTTAGTCCAGGAAGTAGGGGAAATACCAAAAATATCTGTGAATAGTTTCTCAGTATTGAAGATTGCTTGTATGAGTAACACGAGCTTGAATGCTAAAATGATTTTAGTTCCAGCCCACCCCAACCATTGTTCTGAACCTAAGTTTATGTTTCTCTGGGAAACTTGGCCCGATCTTTTGTCAGGGGGAGGTGGCTTGGTGAAGAAACGATGGCCTTGGTGGCCGTTCTCCTCTGAAGGAAACGCCACAGTGTGTTTATGAAATTTGATTGAATTGCCAGAATGGCCCTTTTTGTAACTCTCGACGTGTGTCGTTATAAGACATACTTCTTAATGGACAAATAGGAATGTTAGTTTAAAAAAATAATAATTCAAAACCCCAAACCAACTGCAAGCTCGATCAGGCTGTAGTTTATTGATTTGTCATTATATGGCACTCTACGTGTCCTTGGTTTAGTTGATTTACATCCCCACTGAACAGCCTGGTATGGAAGCTAATGAGATGTTGACCAGGCTTTGCGAGGTGCACTGGGCAGGGACCAGAGAATATCAGCAGTTATCAAAAGCTTTTTTTTTCCTCTCTCTTTTTGACATGACACTGGGAGTCCTGGGGCTCTCCAAGGTGAAGCATTAAAAGTTTCACCAGGAGAAATTGAAGGTATCAATGAATTCATTCTGTTTTTAGCCTATATCCCCATTGTTTTGCTACTTTTTTGTATTCTCATGTATTTTTATATATAAATATACTTAAAATTTTCTGTCGTTCACTTTTTATTAAAGTAATATTTTCAAGACCACAGCTGTTTCTAAAGTGACATGGAGGGCATGGATCATTCCTTTGTTCGACCCAAAAGGTTGTTTGAATTCATTTCCAATTGCAGCTCTTTGTCTTGGTAAAAAAAAAAAAAAGAAATTTCACTGCCCCACATGATGTGTAGCCTGTTTCTATCCTTTGTTTTTCCAAAGATATCTGGTGCATTTAAAGTACACAAAACAACAGATTTGCCTGAAACCCTAAATCTACTTTCCTGTCATGGTTTTAATGATTCCAGACACATGTAAAACTTTGTGATGGCCATTCATTCATTCATCTCTTCACTTTTTTTGAAAAACACTCGTGACCTCTTGTAGCCTTTTGGTGCTTAGTCAAGCGGGTTAAGGTCAACCAGATGTAATTGGCTTTTAAAATGTTACAGAAACATGGGAGGAGAGCAGTTTTCTTCCATGTGAACAGAAGAGCGAATGTGCCTGCACACTTGGACATTCTGTGTTAATGTGTGTATTGTATTTGTTCTGTCTATAAAATACAGTATGTACAACAAGACTTATTAGCTTAAACTCTGCCATTATTGTCATTACGTGGCTGTTGCGAGTTTAACATGTCCCCCCCCTCCCTTCTTTTTGATGTAAATGTGTTTACCTTATGGCACTAGTGATTGTACTTTAAGTGCACCTAGTGAAGTTTGGATTTGGGGAACTGAACCATGTGTTAGGGTCCAGTGTTACATTGTTTTTATCTTTGGCCTACAACATATGAATGTGAAACAATACATTACAAAAACTGACGTGGACCAGACGTACATATACATAACAGTAGTACAGTATGTGTGTATTTAACAGTAATCTTTTTGCAAAGCAGTCAGTACAGTAGATGTCGCAGTTGTTTTACCAGTAGAGGGCGGTATTGATAGAGCAGTTCTTTTTTTTTTTTTTTTTTTTCTGACCATAAGCTTCTCAGGCGTGTGGCATATTATGCAGACTTCATAAAACACTAATAAAGATTTTTATTCTCATGATTCTGTCTGTGTGTGTGTGTGTGTGTGTTCGTGTGTGTTCGTGTTCGTGTGTGTGTTCGTGTGTTCGTTCTGATTGTAGATATTGGGGATATTAAAACACAAAGACTGGTAGGTAGACATGGATTTAGTCTACATTAATAGCTCAACTATTATTATGTCACAGGACAATTTAATCTTGGTTTAACTTAGTGCATCTGGCACCAGAACCCTCTTGTAAAGTTACAATGGTGAGTGTGTACTATTGGTTGCTGTCTACAGTTGTTGAGCAGTGGAGGAAAGTAATCAAGTACATTCACTCAAATACTGTACCTAAGTGCATATTTGAGGTTCTACTAGTTACCTAGTAGCATATATAAAATGATTCATTTCTTACATCTTCATACTATTTACAGTATTACACCGATAATGATTACACATATTTTGCTGCTAATGCCTATCTATTAGATAATGGTAATTGTATTTTAATGTGAATTTGCATTCTTGAAATTGAATAATTTTCCATTGTGTTATCACTACTCAAGTAAAGAGTGAGAGTACTTCTCCAGCACCTCTGAACAACTCACTGTAGACTGTACTTGAGTGATACTTGAGGTATGTGTATTCTACTTGAGTCTTTCCATGTTCACTGTACTTTATGCTTCTACTACATTTTACTCAACATTTATTTCACAACTTTAGTTACAAGTTACCTGTCAGATTATGGTTGTACATACAAAACACAATCAGTTTTTAAAGTCTGATGCATCATTATAAATTAAACCGTCCAATGTATATAAAGCAGTTAAAATCAGCTACACCTCAACCAACTACAACATTAAGTTACTTCTTACATATTAATGGTCCAATAATACAATAACACTGACATTCTGCCTACTGAGCACATTTAGCTGATCATACTTTCTGACTTGTAATACAGTTTTATTATAGAGTCATGTTGCTATATTGACTGAATACTTCCTCCACCACGGTTGTCCATAAGATAACTGCGCTTTCCTGTGTGTCTGTCACCTGTCTGACAAGCAACAAGCTGCCATTAAGGTTTGACCTTCCTCAGCCACCGTAGGCTACGTCAGAAGTAAATAGTGTCAGGTAGCTAGCTAGGTACTTATTAAGACACCATGGCTTTTACTTTGTACTCTCTTATTCAGGCAGCGATCCTGTGTGTCAATGCTGTGGCTGTATTGCATGAAGAACGATTTCTGAGTAAAAGTAAGTGGCGGGAGTTCAAACTGCACGCGCCCATAGATGGGACTGTTAATACGAAAGTCGAAACAGCTAGCATAGCTAATGCTAACTATCTCGTCACCTAAGAGCTAAGGTTACATTTATAAGAGCATTAAAACAATGATGTGGGCTGTATCGGTGAAGGCTGATTTCTAGTTGCTGTACCTGTCTGTAATGAGCGGTTCAATGTGGGAGTCACCGTTTAAATCTAACGCTATCATCTAAAAACAACTTTATTTAAAAAGTGATGGACAACAAGCAGATAATATTATATATATATATATATATATATTATTATTATATTATTATTTTAGGCTTAACTAAAGGCGGGGGAATAAAATGTCAACAAACTTTACCCGTATTTGACAAAAATACATTTAAAGAAAACAGTACTCAGTCAAAGCTGCTATCTGTCTGTCTGTCTGTCTGTCTGTCTGAACCATTAGTTGGCTGGGGAGTGGACCAAAGTGTGGGAGGTTTTGGAGATGAACCAGGCATCAAAGTGCAGCTAATGAACCTCATCCGCTCTGTGAGGACAGTGATGAGAGGTGGGTGTTGACTCTACCACACACACACACACACACACACACAGCGTCCTGGCTCTCTGATCATGTCATCCTTTGTCTTTCTGTGCCCTGCAGTGCCGTTGATTGCAGTGAATTCAGTGTGCATTGTACTGCTGCTTCTGTTTGGATGAAGAGGAGCGAGTGAAGATGGGCCAACCAGTCTGCTGTCAGGAGAACATCTCCAGCACCTCAGGAACCCTTCTGAAGAAACAGATTGTATCTCTCTGACACACAGAGTGTCTCCTGTCAGCCTGAATATGAATGTTATCATTTGTTATTTCACATTAACACACGGGATACTTGTGAAGGCCTGTTTTATAGAGCGAAGTCATTCAGAATAACTAAATGAAGAACGGTTATTTCCCTTTTATTTTGAAAAGCACAATAAAATGCTGAGGAGTTACCACTTCATAAATGTTTTTACGCCTTTCTGAGAAAAACATAACTTTCACAAATGAGCTGACTGTTTGTGATTTATACACTGAAAACATGTAAATAAACTCTTGAATACATGCTGTTGTTGTTGAAATGCTCGAAAGAAAAGACTGTAAGTTAACGAAGTGTGCTAACGCCTTTCATTTCCTCAAATAGTCGAGGGCGTGCTGTTTGTCCCAAGTCGCACTCCGTACTTGTGACCAGCGTCACACACTGATCGTGTGTTGGCTTTATGGTCCCGACCATTGACAGTATGTGTTGCAGAGTAAGTAAGTAAGAGTAAGTTGAGGTGTAGTGACAGGGAGCGATAATGCTGTGTCAGTAATGGGGAATGCGCAGAGTTACGCTGTTGCCTCTCTCACTGTGTGCTCTGTGTATGTTGTTTATGTTTACATTTACTGTTCCCATAAGTTGTTGAAGACCAATGTGCTCAACAACGAGAGGCTTCCGAGTTTTGTGTATCTTTACATCAGATATGTGAGCAGAGCACTGACTCGGAGGACAGGCTGCATGTACACAGCAGCTGCACAGAGGACTGAGGTTGTTTACACGGTCCTCGACTGCAGGTGAGCGTCTGACGAGGAGGCTTATTCAACTGTCTGTACCGAGCTGGCTGCCCGTCGTAGCCGTGTTGAACCGGTGTATTTGTCTGTATAAGGCTGGACACTCCCCTGTTGAGGAGGTTCTGCAGTGCTGCAGGGTATGGCTGGGATTACCCAGACACCGAGTACAGAGACATCCCACTGTGCTTCCCAGAGTTCCTCTGTGGCAGACTGCTGCTTATGCTGCTGACTGATGAGAAGTTCAGCCTCAGCCCAGCAGGTCAGACACATTCAGAGAGAGTGTCTTCTTAGATCCAGCTTGTGGTTTTGCAGATGCTTTTTGCACCAGTAGATTATATTGAGTTTATTCCCACTGCTCTGAATTCCATGTTTTATTGGTGCGTTTATAATAAAAGCTTGGAAAATGATTGGGAATTACTTCTGCAGGTCTTGTTCGTGTACGTCAGAGTCTGAAAACCCTCCAGCCAGTTGACGAACTGAAGAAGGGTCCGTTCATGCTGCAAGTTAGAGTCCTGGAGTACCGGCAAACTGACGCAGGGGTGCAGGTGGATGTGTGTCTGTCTGCCACTTCTCGTACAGGATGCCCCGTGTGGGAGAGCGTCCTGACACTGCTGTCCAATAACAAGCTGCACAAAGCCAACAGTTGCCAACCAAGGAAAGAAAATGAGAGTGAGTAACAGCATTGAGATTTACACTGAGAATGTTTTCAGCCTTATTACAACAGGAGCATACAGTGGCTGCCTTGTGTTTAATGTTTCCCAATAGCACACTTAGTTTAGGGATTAGGATGTAACATACATGAGTGCACACTGAGACTCTTTCTGCTTCTGTTTCCTTGTTCTGACAGGCCAGCCAGATGAGCCTGTGCCAGAGAACGTGAAGCAGGTTGAGCTCAGGGTTCCCAGGACTGCCGGCCTGCCGTGTCTGTGGTCCCTGTCTGACTTCTCCCCCTATTGGCTCCTCTCCCTACCGGCCACGCTCTTTGACTACAGATCCCAGACCTCCCCGAGTCTCTGGATGTTGTCTGTCTGCTTGGCTGAAATAGAAAAACACAAAGGTAATACATTTTATGGGTAGACCAAACTGACTGATAGCTTGACGTAACATTGTAGTAATTTAACATGCAGCCAGTTCATCAAAGCTTTAATATTTGCTGTGAACAGTGAGCAGGCAAGGCAAAGTGTCTGCAGTGAAAAAGGTCAATAGTCATATATTTATTGTGTGAGTATTTTCAGCGGTCAGACCTCGTCATTGCTCTGTTGTGTCATCAGGCGTTGGCGTCATCACAGCTCCTGTCAACGTCACTGCCCAGTTTAAGGACCCTCTGTCGGTGCCAGGCAGAGTGACAATCAGGTTGTGGGAGACGACCAGAGACGGGGGTCAGTCTTCTGCCCAAGGCCTCAGCTTCCACATGCAGCAGCAGGGACACAACACGTCTCTCATGATGGGGTTGATTTCTAGGTCTTGATTAACATAGAAGTTTGATACTTGTAGTTAAGCCAAAACACAGTAAAATGTGACACTGTATAATAAATTCAATGCAACAGTTCGAGTATTTTCTCATATCAACATTAAATAAGCTCTGTATATTGCAAATCTGAGGTAAATATATTCATATTCTGTACATTTATTAATAAATGTATCTACTGAGCTTTTTAAAAAGTGTTTTCAGCTTCATTGAGTGCAACCATTTCAATGATGGACTTTAGTGGATGCTCTATGTCAGTGAAAAACTAAAACAGGCATCAAGGAGACGGGGGGGGGTATCAGAATTCATAGATCTCATCTGCTGTGTTTTTGCTGCTTAACATCTTTCACAGCAGCCATTTTCACATGAAATAGTAGGGTAAACACAGGTCTTACCAATGATACCAATTAGGTTCCATTCAGGTCAAACAGAGTCAGGATGCTGCTATTGTGCATGTTGGCTCACTGGAAAAGCTCTACTACACTAAATGGAAAACAGAGCCTTAATTAGTATCATTGGTAACATCTGTCTTTTATATATATAATGTCTATGACCACAGAATTAGGTTCTGACTGAGATTATTGTTCTGTTGTTTATAACACTGACTCAAAATAGAATTTATGCAAATGTATTTTATTGTGTAACCTCAGTTACTGTACCGATTAAACCATGGTTTATCATAATTATATAAGTTTACACAAGTCAAGTACAGCACACTGTTATTTTACACAAAGAGTCTAATGTGAACCCCAAAAAGCAAAACTTGGTGTGCTGCACTGTTGGTGTTAGATGTATTTTTGAACTTTGGACAGCTAAGCTAATTGCCAATTGCCTGCTTCAGGCTATTGCTCCATAGTGGTATTGGTCCTCTCATCTCTCAGCCCAAAATGTCAAACTGTTTCTTAAATTATGGCCTCATTCCAATCAGGAAACAGTTAATTACACATCAGTCAGTTTACTGACAATTGTGTGTTCTTGTCAGATATTCTTATGAACCTGAATGGATCATAGCAGCTGGGAAAGACTTTGAATTTAAAGATTTCTGATTTTTGATATATTATCAGCAGGACTTTGTGCTACAGGTTTCATAGATCTACTGTACATGAGCACTTTGTCAGATGCCATGTCCACCGCTTGACTATACTAGGCTAATGCAGACATCATCCCTACAGGGATTGAAGAGTTTTCAATATTTGATCCCTCCGATATTCCTGTTTGCAGCTTTCATGTATGTGAAGTCTGTCTTCCTGTATTATTTATTGGAACACATTCAGTGTATGGGACTGAGAGAAGTGGCTTTTCATGCATCTCTGCACCGCTGCAACATTTTATAAAGGAATAAGGTTTCTGGCATGACTTCTCGTGTAAAAGTGGGGGAAAGACTGGGGGGTTTATTCTGTGGTTGTCTGGGATCATTTGAAGAGAAAACAATGACAAAATGAAAACGAGTTTTTCATCAGAAAATGATTTAAGGTCAGAATGATTCAAGATAATCACGCCAGTGGTTCATTCCCTTTATTTTAAAATGATAGAAAATGGAATTTAAAAAGTCAGTTTGGGATTTTATGTATAACCTACAATGTATTGAAGAAATACCTTCTGTTTGAAAATATGTATTTCTTGGCAATGTTGCCCTTTTGTTAATCTGTCTTTCTCTCTGGATCAATGAGAACAGAACCCAAAAGTGAAGTCTCATTTTGTGTTCTGTAGATTGTTTCCAGGTGTAAATGTGTGCAGATATGAATGTGAAGATTGTTCAACTTAAAGCAGGTTCAGCAAAAGCTCAAATAACAAGGGGGAAAAAAAGCAGTATTACTGGTGACTCAGTATCAGTGGAGCATCTGTCGACCGCCTCCCTGCACACACTGTGAGCAGTTGTAGTTTATATGATGAGGGGAGGGCGTGTGTGAGTCTGTCTATAGACGTCCAGACGGAGCAGAAATCAGTTTCACCAGCTGTACAACACATCAGAGGAACTCAGGCTGGGTCATCCCTCCTCTGCCATGTGATTTTCATTACAGCAACTTGGGGAAGAGTTCAACCGTAGAAGGTTTAAGGTAAAAGCAATTCTTAAATATTTGAATTCAAGTGGATTTTTGAAAAAATATTGGATTTGCATACATATAATCCTGTAGCCATAGTTGTTATATAACTTGTGTGCTTGATATACAGCCCAATAGTCTAGTTAGTGCATAGGACAATGCTGGCTATGTTGTATAACTACTGTACAGTGTTGCTGTTAGCAGCTGCACTAATTTAACAGCATTTCCTAACAACAAAGGCAACGATACAGAAGGAATAGTGCTCTAGAAATGTTGTGTCACTCTAAAAATACTAAATTTAAATGAAACGCTTGGTTGGCAATTAAGTTATTCATACTAAGGTAAATCTTGGTCCTTTATCTTGGGACCATATGTACTGTTTTGAGGGTATAAAGGTCAACTGTACGTACTTGAGATAAAATGATCTAATTTCTCCCAGTGTAAGTTCCCTCTACCACAGTTAAGAGCTGTTGTCGGCCTTCTTCTGTGACAAAAACAGCCACCAACCAAATGCACTAAAGTGGTAATGCAATGAATGTGTTTAAATCAAATCTATTTTTCATCTATTGTTGCTCAGTCACCACCACAAGCTAGAGTGGAGCGTGCTGACACTTTAACATGTACATTGCTGTTATTATTCATTTATAGAGTCCTGATTCTGTCATGCATATGAGTCAGTCAAGTGTAAGAGGGTCAGTCTGTTAAGCTCCTGTGTGGAGTGCATTGTATTTGTCATGTAGGAACGTAAAGTGGAAACACTCCTCTTGCAGAAGGTTTTTAACTTGTATTTAGTGTAAATATCCAATGTCTTTTAATATTAACTTATTTGTCTGTCAGATGTGTGTAGCAAAAAGTAACATTTAAACATTAACTTTTCAAATACTACTTTCTGCTACTGTAGCTTTGGGTGATAGCAGATTTCTACAGTACCTATCTTTTTAAAACACCTGACATTCTGCCTAAACTATGCTCTGAAGTTGCTCTGAGTGATGCATTCATCACTTGGAGGAAGGGGGTGTGTGTGTGTGTGTGTGTGTGTGTGTGTGTGTGTGTGTGTGTGTGTGTGTGTGTGTGTGTGTGTGTGTGTGTGTTTTAGAGAGATGACACACGCACACATATTCTCTCCTTCCTTGGTTAGAGCACTTTAGAGGAGTTTGTCTGTCTCCTTCTTCAAAGAGCCGCTGATCCTCAGGGAATTTAAGTTATTTTTTGCTTCTTTTAGAAGTACTTCATTTATTTATTCAGAGAGGCCAATACTAAATGACAGCTTGTTCTCCCTTACTGTTCATAAAACAACTCCACTGCACTTACTATTACCTGCCCCAGTTACTGCGTTAGAGAAAGATGTGAATAATATTAATACTGCAACTGCACAATAGTACCATGTATAGTAGGGGTGAGTGATACAAATAACATTGTAATACACCGTTACACAGGTGACAAAGTAAAGGAAAAACCTGAGTAAATTAAGGCAAAATGATAAAAAAAAATCTTCACAGTCACCAGATCTTAACCCAGTTGACCTGTGTGACGTTTTTGGAGCAACGTGTTAGACCACCACCATCATTAAAATGACAAATGAGGCGCTATCATTTGGATGAATGTCCTCAATCCTCCCATTTCAATAGGAAACAATACCAAGTAGCACTGAAGCTGTTCTGGAGGTTCATGATGGCCCAAATTTTTACTTAAGATACTTAGTAATGTTTTAGCTTCAATTTGTCACCTATCTTAGGATGTTCATTTTCTGAAATTACCTTTGAGAAAAGAATCAGATAAAAATGTTAAAGAACGTCCAGAATAAAATATCTTTACTGTCCAGAGGACTGCCATGTACGACAGAGTATTAGGGCCAGAGAATTAAAAAAAAAAAGAAATTTTGTTGTGGAAATTACCAGAATAAAGTCATAATATTAGGTCTACGAGAATAAACTTATAACATTACGAGAAAAAAGTAGTAATATTACGAGAAAAAAGTCATAATATTAGGTCTACGAGAATAAAGTCGTAACATTACACGAAAAAAGTCATAATATTGCGAGAATAAAGTCGTAATATCACGAGAATGAAGTCATAATATTTTGCTGATTGGTTGAGCTGGTCACGTCAGATCTTGATAACTCTATCAAAGCTTTTTTCTCATTAAAACGACTTTTTTCTTGTATTATTATTACATTATTCTCGTATTATTACGACTTTATTCTCGTAATATTACGACTTTATTCTCGTAGACCTAATATTATGACTTTATTCTCGTAATATTATGACTTTATTCTCGTAATTTAAAAAAAAAAAAATCCCTCTTAGTCTGGCCCTAATACTCCGTTGTAGGCCATGAAATGTAGTTCCCATAGGATGAATCATTGTGACTCCTGTGATCCCCTGACTTTTACTCCCATTCCACCACCAGCGTCACAATTTGTGGTTTTGAGTTTCCATGAAATTTGGTGCAGACAGTCATGCCCCACTCAGGATAAGGTCACTTTTTATCTAGTGCCATCATCAAGTATGTGTGTACATTTGTCCAATACTGCAAAACTAATAGCATTCCTAACAACCTCAGCTGTACCATGGTAAACACTATCTGCTAAACATCAGCATGTTAGCATCATCGGACTGATACAAAAATCCTGTAAATCCAATATCGCCATAAAGCAGTCCTGCTGATTGATTAGTAGCCAGGATAGGTCTGATACAAAGTACTGATATTAAAAGGGATAAAAAAATAAAATAATACAAATAAGAGTGAAATCATTACCATTACACAAATTTCTGTTGTCTCTCAGTATACAGGTATACCATCATATCACTCAACCCTGTTGTATAGTTATGAATCTTAGATGTCAGTGATACAATCTTGTGAAACACAGATATTTTCAAGTGAGCTTTGCAATGTTTCTGTAATTCAAAAGCTTATTCATAAAGTGCTGTTATCTATTGTTACAGCAAAACCGCCAGCCCTGATAGCTCAGAGCTGGAACCCTATGTACCAAGGCCGGGTCCTTGCTGTAGCAGCCATGGGTTCGACTCTGACCCATGGCCCTTAGCTGCGTGTCGTCCCCTCTCTCTCCCCTAGCTAGTAATTGATCTTACGTTTTCAAGCTCAAGAATTAACTCTCAGTTTTCTGTCTCGTCTCAGTGTGGTAAGGGAGAATACATGAAGAAGCAAGGAAAAGGCAACACTGCCAGCATCCCCCCCTCTTCCCCAACTGGGAGCAGCAGAGTGCAGGTCTACCATGACTACCAGAAGGTGGCTTTTAAGATGTATCCTGGGAATGGTCATGCAACAGAAAACGGTTCTAACACCAGGAGAGACCATGTCACGAGTCGAGATGGTACAGGCAAGATGTCCTCTGTTCCAGACATCATCTCTAACAGCCAGGACCAAAGGCACAGCATGAAGGAGAGCCTTCAAAGGAACTCCACGTGGACGATGGATTCGAGCAGCCAGGCCTATTCGGGGCCAGAGGATAACTCCACAGACCCACATGAGACCTTGACAGAGACTTCAACTCTGACCTTTGTGGACACCCACACCATGGAGGAATCGGGAGAGAATTACAGCCTCCACGGGGTGGGGATGGTTTACCTCAAGGAGTTTGTGCTGATAGATGATGATGACGATGGAGACATGTCACTAAGAGAGAAAACGGTGACTGACTTGTCTGTCATGGATGGAAAAGCTGCTGACTTGGTGTGTGGGAGGCTGTTGTCTACCTCCAGTGGCTCACTGTCAGAGTGTAAGGAGGATACTCCAGCTCCTGAGGTGCCTCCACCTGAGGAAGTTGAGACTGCACACAAAAAGAAATGCTGCTGTTTCTGCACTATTCTATGACCAAGCAGGACATTAAATATCAGCAGCAGTTTGTGTGTCCAAGATCCCGACTGTGAAGATTTCTTAGATAACTCTGGCAAAACACAGCTACATACTATGTGTATATATGTGTTCCTGTTGAAGCACAGGGCACACTCATAGGTAAGGTGACCTAGCCAAAATGACACCGAGTGGTGTCATTTTGTTTTCTGATTCAACTTTTCTGTCTGGAATTGATTTTACAGAACCATTATTTAACATTTAAACGCTAAACCATTAAAATATTTTTGTTTGTCTCAGTTGTCATCCACTTATGTGTTTTTGTAAGACTTGATTATTTACGTAATTATGAAGTGTATGTATCTTAAGAGGTGTAATGCTCTCTGATTTACATTTATAGAATTTGATCATGTGGGTTAAGATCATCCTTTTCAAGTTGAACAAACATATCTCTAAAATCTATTATAAAGTTTTGATACTAAAAAAATGCATGTTCATATAATATTTGATCTGTATGACAGACTTTTTGATAACTATATAGAAGGTCTAGAAAGATCAGGTGCTAAAAACAAATAAAGATCTCTTCAATTGCCACAGTTTGTGTCTACTTACTTTCTCTATAAGCACTTTGTTTGGCCAAGGGACACCAACCAGAACTGTACTGCAAGAAAGTACAACAATGATAAGAATGCATCATTATGCCAGGATATTATGCAATGAGTAGACCCAGCAATTTTGGTTCAGCACAGGATTCTGCAAGATCCCCTGTGACTCTTTGACATCTAGTAGCATTATGGAGCAATGGTTTTACAAGTGTGTCCCTATTTTGCATTATGCACATACACAAGCATGTGGGCGGCAAAAAAAGTCCTGACCCTGGTTTCATGCTATTGCACAGAGTGGCGGTGAGGTGCGAAGAAGTGTAGCAATGTGCCAACAAAGGTAGAGAAGAAGAGAACTCCAGCTAGTACACAACAACTGATTGATGATTTAAATGATTTAAAAAGATTGGCCCTGTAAGGAAAAAAATGCATTCAAAATTTTTTTGGTTATACCTTAAGAACGCAAACAATTATGTTTAGGTGGGTAACACAGAATTTCAGTGTAACTTTAGTTTGGACCAAACTCCACAGGGCACCTTTAGGTAAACCCAACCTGACATCTGCTGGTGAAAGCAGGACTGAACCACATCTGCCATATCACTGTGCTCTGTAAAGTGACATCACTCAACACCACACTATTACTGTGTCCCCTTATGTGCTATATTTTTGGTTTTGTTGATTGTTGAAAAATGTTTGTCTTTATTAAAGATAGTTAGTTCTGGAACGGAATCCATGTTGTTGCATATTTGACACCTCCCGCAAACAACATAGCTTTTCTGTCAAATCTAACTCTACTGACATTTTCTATGAATGTGAATGAAGTGTTTCTGATTGAACTAGTGGTTTTGCTGTCTTTGCTTTAAAATTAGTGATGAAACAACTTGAATTTGCACTGTATCATGTCCAGATCTAGTCAGATTTGGGCCTACACATAGACATACTGTTCGGTCTGCTCTGTTCAGACTGGGATTAATCAGTCCAGTCCAGCAGGCACTGGTGTGAGGCGGTAGGTTGTTGGTTTGAGTGACAGAGAGACCCCACTAAGGATCCTGCTGAGCAGAAAGATAGCAGCTCGCTAGACTTATCTCCCCCTCCCACAGCACGACAACTGACACCCTCTCTGCAACCACTACAGACACTGTGGTAGGACAAGGAGGGATGTTCGTTCCATTCACTTAAAACATTTACACATTTGTGGATTATAATAAAAAAGGATTAATTGAGCCACCTTTAATTTAATAAGGGTTACAAACAACTTTAAATACATTGGACAAAGGGTAAGCTGCAGCATGATATTCATTTGTTTTTGGCCTACAATAGCAGTGGCAGTCATTAATTTTAACTTATTAACTTGTACTTGATGTAGTCATCTGATTAAAGACTCTTACCTGGCTATCATTTTTAGTACACACATAGTAATGATGTGGTTACTATAAAGTTATGTTTTACAAAATACCACAGTTTTTGTCAGAGGGCATCCAGCAGGTTCATTAGGCCAAAAATAGCTGTTATCAGCTACGGCAGCATGTGTGCCAGAGTGAACACGACGGATATCATCAATGTGAACATGTGAAGTGTAACTGAAAGTGTCAGCGGATGACAGATGAAGCCACAAAACCACCAGCCGCAAGAAGACCATTGACAAAAGCAGCTATTTCTCAGGGTGACCTCAGCTCACCCACTCACTGCCTCCCCTCAATCCTGGTTATCAATTCCTCTCAGTGTCATCATGGTCCACAAGACGGAAGAAAGAAATGAAAAAAGAAGATGGGGATAAGGAGGTTGAGTGTCTGGTGAAGTGAAGAGCACAACAGACTCTCAGAGAGGATGGATGAGAGAAACAGAACAATGATCGTGGTTTTTATGCTCTGTGTCATTGCTGGTGAGAATAGTGATGACAGTTTTTTGTCACATTTGGTGATTATTTAACATCATAAAAAGTGAAAACCCTTTGAAGATACTGACTGATGGACGTTCTTTCTATCCTCTCAGATATGCTAGCAGAAGGCCACACTCTGCATGTGTGTGCCACCTGCCACGCTAACGCCATATGTGACGACAAGTCAGACGGCTCTGGCAAAGTTTGTAACTGCAAGTACGGCTTTGTTGGAAATGGGAGAACCTTCTGTCAAGGTAGGAAAACAGTGTTAATAACACTAAATGAAGTCTCTTCATTACATCCTCTATTTTTTTTTCTAGGGTTTTGTAATGAGAACTGCAGAGTTTAAACATGGAATTATTATCTAATTAATATTTTTATATTATATCATATTATATATACAATAGATCAAATTACTGTATAAAAGGTGTTGTCTGTTGTGAAGAATTACAACCCTGCTCTGCTGTTCCCCTAAGAGAATTTTAGCAGTCCTTCAGCTTATTGTTTTGGTTTTACCACCCGCAACTTTACCATTTTGGTTCAGGCTCATTGCTCTCATCAGCATTGTTTCTAATTATTTTAGCCAAAGAAAACTCACAGTACACCACCTGCTCAGCACCAGAAATCAGACAGTTTTCGACTAGCTAGAGAATGTAGTGGAGTAAAGAGCCAGATAATTCCCTCAATAACCCACTGCTTTTCATCAGTGTGTAATCACCTGAAAATAAGAATAGTTGTGTGTTCGTTACCTTAGAATGAGCCGTTTTTATCTACATCTACATCTTCTACAAAGTCCGCCATGTTGAACCACCAAGTTTCTACACTAGCCCAGAAGAGACAAACCAAACACTGGCTGCAGATAGAGCCTTTTGTGTTTTGTTTCACGGCCACTGTAGTTTCTCCTACACGCTTGGAAGGCTGAGCTGCATTCAAATATTTGCAATCCGTAACTTTACCTCAAGATGCCACTAAATCCTACTCACTGGTCCTTTAATGCTATCAGCTTGTGAATGTACAGGCAATGGCAAAGCAGATATTAAGAAGGCATCAGTCATCTCACATAGGCATCTTAGTTTAGTGTGTTACAATGCTGACACTCAGCCTTCATATATGGTACGCACTCTGCCTCAATGATCTTCTTCACATAAAACATTTTGACTCGTCATAGGAGGAAACTCACAGGTAGAACTAATAACATTAATGATTTCAACAACAAAAAAAAACTCAACTTTTTTCTTTTTCAAGATAAAGATGAGTGTCAGTTAGGAGCCAGTAAAATCTGTGGGAAGCACACCACCTGCCACAACACATATGGCAGCTACTACTGCACCTGTCTGGCTGGCTACAGCCCTTCTAACAATATGGCAGTCTTCATCCCAAACGATGGAACCCACTGTCTGGGTGAGTTTAAGCTGGACCTGGGTCTTTTTCACAAGGCTGTTAAAGTTGTTAAACTTAAACTAAAAACTGTTATATATATTTATAGAATTACAAAAAAGTAAGACTAAAAATGAGAAATGACACATGCGTTTTCAACCATCTCAGTTTGTACCTGTAAAACAAGCCTTAAAAGGTGGGTGACATTGTCGTTTTATGTCACATGCTCATTTACCATTGGTTGTGCAGACATTGATGAGTGCAGGATCGCAGGCTCGTGTGGAGATGGAGGTCAATGCAGGAATCTTGAGGGCAGTTTTGACTGCAGCTGCCAGCTGGGATACCAAGTCCACAATGGAACGGAGCCCTTCCACCCTTACAGAGACAAAGCTTCCTGCAGAGGTAAAACTGCGTTAATGGGATCTGAATAAGCAGACTGACAGTTTTGACTATTTTCTATTATGTCTTTTCCAGCATGTCATGATTTTATGTTCTTGTCCCCCTCAGTGGTTGACTGTGGCCAGCCTGCCTCAGTGGAGGACACAGTGCTGCTGTCAGTCACAGGTACCACATACAGCAGTGTGGCCATGTTTGGCTGTGACGAAGGCTTTGTGTGGAGTAGCGGAGACAACAGCTCTGTGTGTGGAGCTGATGGACTGTGGAGAGGACCCACCATGGTCTGTGAAGGTAATAAAACAGAAGTAAACAAAAACATTCTGCCACCCTCCACAGTTCTTATTTCCTCTTCTAGCATTACATAACTATTCATTAACATTCATCAGCACAATATGACTCTGTACTTTCTCTGCTCTTAGGTGCTTGTGACATTCATGACCTATAAAGGTGTGTTTATTAGGTATTCCTAACAGTGTCAGCTAAATGAGGTTATAAGGTATACTGTATAATTTATTAAAGAGACAAAGAGCACATCAGTTTACCTCACAGTTACAACAACGAGCTAATGAAAGCAAAGCTAATGGATAGGTTTACAACTTTCTCAGTCTGCCTTAAAACAATAGGACTGTGGATTTGCGTTATGAAGGGATCTCTTCACAGCCAGTATGAACAGGAGGAATGATTACAGCAATAAAAAAGTTTAAATAACTATTGTTTTATGACAGACTTGAACCATTAGGAGCCTGTCCATTAAGCCGTAAATGGATGTGAACATAGTGAATCTTCCACTGATGACAGTGCAGTTTTTTAGTGAGTTTTAACCAGTTTCAAGAACACAGGGATCATGAAACTGATCGGTCGGACAGAGTTCCTGGAGATTTGCCAGTGAATACAGTTTCATGCAGCGTGTCGTGTCACTGCTTTGACTCTCAGAGGTTGACTGTGGCTCTCCCCCTGCCCTCCCTCACTCTCATATGCTGTGGAATAAGAGCTCGAGGATAGGCACTGAGGTGCTTTATCAATGTAACTCTGGATATCATAATGTTGGAAAGGGCAATGTGTCCATCTGTACTGCTTCTGGACAGTGGGAGAAACCGTCCGTGCTCTGTCAAGGTACAGTTACTGTTTTATCAGATCATTGTAGAGTTTTGAAAAACAAACTTACACAGAACTTTTAACTTCCTGAATTGAGTAAACTGAGAAGGAATTTATCTGAATCCTGGCATTTATGTTGCATGATTGTGGTGTATGTTATTCCTTGTAGAGACCTTGTGCGGACATCCTCCTATAATTGAATCCACTGAGCAGGTTTGGAACAGTACTTCAACCCCTGGCAGCACTGTGCTCTATTTTTGTAAAGAGGGCTTTTATAACAAAGGAGGACATAATATATCAATCTGTAACAAAAACGGTCAGTGGACCCCCCCAACTCTGTTGTGCCAAGGTAATTCAAACAATGAATGAAAGTCCTAAAATAGTTTTCTTTTCAACTATGAAAAGTAAGAACATATTTCTAGTGTTTTCTGTCATATCTCGTGTGCCTAGTCTTAGGGTAAAACAAAAGTGAGCCAGTCAACAAAAGTGAAATCACATGTGTGACTGTAGTATGGACTAAGTGTGTAGGACAAAATTGTTAAGAATTAATTACAATAAAACTTGTATTTTATGAGCTCAAAATGTATTGCTGTGTTTGTTTGTTTTAATTTTGCGTAACCCCTTTGTGTATATAATTTCCTGTCCCAGAGATATTATGTGGGGATCCTCCTATACTGCCTCACACTGGGCAAGTGTGGAATGGCAGCTCTGCCCCTGGAAGCACGGTGACTTACTACTGTAAAACAGGATTTTATCACAATGAAGGAAATAACATATCATTGTGTACAATTAATGGTTACTGGACAAAACCAAACATCTCATGCAAAGGTAACAACTTGCTACTTGCCTGTTATTGACATGTGTGGTTGGTATTGTTTCCATTGCTGTTTTCCAGAGTCAAATAATAACTGTTTTCACCAAACTAAATACTGCAATTTCTATCTTTGTAGAAGTTGACTGTGGTGTGCCCCCACCCATCCCTCATTCAATCATGCTGTGGGATAATATCTCCACAGTGGGCTCTCAGGTTGTTTATCAGTGTAACTTTGGATATCGCAACACTGGAGAGGGAAATGTATCAGTTTGTACTACCAGAGGAAAATGGGATGCAGCCTCTCTGCTCTGTCAAGGTGATAATGGCATAAGTCAACACAACAGAGTATTGTGTTGCCTGCCTTAAATAAAATAATGCAATCATCTCAAATAATGCCAATACATCATAATTGAACTGAACAGTATAAATCTTACTGTCATTATTTAACTGCCATTTCAACCACTGTGAAGATGAAGATGTGTGGATTATATCAGGAAATTTGTGTCATTCATTTGAACATTTCAACATCTATCCAGCTACCAGTAACCCACAATGACTTGCTGTCTTTTTGTTGTAGAAATCAATTGTCAAGAGCCTGTTTCTAAACCTCATGCTAAAATGTTATGGGACGGCATATCACACATTGGCAGTGTGGTGTATTACCAATGTGACAAAGGATATTACAAAAGGAGCCTGAGAAACTACTCCGTATGTGGAGAGAATGGACTGTGGGAGGATATTGATCTATGGTGTGAAGGTGCAATGTTTAACAGATATATTGATATTGCTTTAATTTCAGAATGTCTGTAGCAATATGCAGAAAAAGTTTAAAGCAATAGTTGGTTTGACATTTTGGGAAATATGCTTATTTTCTTGCTAAGAGTTAGATGAGCATATTGATACCACTGTAAGGCTACAGCCAGCAGCAGTTTGCTTAGCTTAGCATAAAGAAAGGAAACAGGGAAACATCTGTTCAACGGTAAGAAAATCTACCTACCAGCACTTTAAAAGCTCTCAGATGAACATGTTATATCTTCTTTGTTTAATCCATACAAAACATTAGTGTAAAAATGACACATTGTGGTTTTACAGGGGGTTGTGTGCTGGACTATTTCTTGGCCTGGTGCAGTGACTTCCTCCAGTCTATGCTGGTTGCCTGGCAACCTCAAATTGACGGTAAGGCTCCAGTGCACTAAACCAATAATAGTCAAATAGTACATTTGGACAGAGCCATGCCAGGTTCTTCTCCCTGTTTCAGTCTTTGTGCTAATTTGAGCTAACTAGCTGCTGACTGTAGTTTCATATTACTGCAGAGACCTGAGAGTGGTATTGATTTTTTCATATAACTCTCAGTATGACAGCAAATAAGGGCATTTCCCAAAATGTCAAACTCTTGCTTTAAAATACAAATATTAGTACATTGCTATGCTTTCTAAATGCCTAGCTGAGGTATGAAAATGTAGTAGGGTCCAAATATTGTACTCTATAAACTTATCTTTACCCATGAGGCACACGTGTGACATATAGACACAGAATATATAAAGAGAGTCTTCTTGTTCTCTTGATATACTGTATGTCTGTTAATAGCACATAAACTTTGCTAATTCATGTCTGTGTGCAGAAATAAGCTGTGGTCCCCCTCTAAACCTCCCCCATACTAACCTCCTGTGGGATTGCACCAGTAGACCTGGCAGTGTGGTGCTGTATGAGTGTATGGATGGATTTTACCAGGAGAGTGGAACTAATGTTTCAACATGTTTACTGTCAGGAGAGTGGGGGAAAGTATCTGTAAAGTGCAAAGGTACAGTGATATTCGCTATGCATGGACATGCATCTATTCAACTGTGGAAGTTATTATTTGTGAATTTTAACATGTTATTGATATGTTTTTGTTGATGCTTTGATTTATCTGATAATGTCAGTTGTTTATTGTTTCAGTTGTGGTTAGAGGTTAGTTGTATATTCCTGCTTTGGCTCTATGTTCTCTGCTTAATGCAGGTTTTGAGGTATATTGAGGTAAATAATAATGTTTTATAACTTTTACATTATCCTTTGTTGTGCTGGTAAATTTATTTCTGTGGGTCCATCAAGAGCTGAATAAATGTTTAGGAAAATGTTGTCATGTTTTCACTCAGCAATGGCTTTTACCACCTGATGAGTCTTACACTGGAATGTATTGGGAACCCAAACAAAGATAGACATGGATATGTATAGAATATACTGTATGTAATTATGTTTATAAAAGGCCCATAACACAAGTAATTACCTAACCAGTCAGTGCCGTTGTTTTTCTAGCTAAATGTGGCCCGATTCCCTTCCTTGCCAACTCAGAGGTGGTGTGGCATAACAGAAGTGTTGTGATCCACCGCTGCGTGGATGGATATCACAGCTGGAGGGGCAGCAACGTCTCTGTGTGTCGCAACTCTGGGCTGTGGCAGAAAGCCACACTGAGGTGCATAGGTAAGTAAGAACATAGCAAGTGAACACACTAGGAACATCTGCAAGTTGCAGTTTATCATGGAATTGTGAACGCATTTGTAAATAGATTTATAATATTTTGAAATCACAAAAGATTTTTCTCTTTTCATTCCGAACATCTCTTACAGAAATAAAGCCACCTATCAATCATCTATTTGTCCTCAATGAAAAATGTCTGCATTGGAAAGCAGAGAAGTATGAGGAGGATACAGAAGTTTACATGGTAACAGTAGAGTTTGTCCTCTTCCTCACACTGTAGATGCTGTTTGTACTTATTTGCCAGAATAGGAAACAGGTGCTTTCAGTAATAAATAAACCTCAATCTCTGGTTATATGTGAATGTGTATGGACAGTTTAGCAATTACCATACCATACTGATGCCACACTCAATATAACCATTCCAGGTGACATACATAGGCTCCAGAGACTACCAGAGGTCCTTTCGTGATAAAGGAAAGCGGTTTCTGAGCTCCATGGGTGACCAGCTGGAACTCTGTCTGAACCTGCTTCCGGTCACAAACTACAGCATGTCAGTCACTGCAGTGTCTGCCAGATTCACAGCCACCATCACCACTAACACCAGTTTACCAGGTATGATAGTACAGTCAATGCTTAAATTTACTACACTCTGACAAAAATGTTTTCCTGCATCAAAGTACAACCTGGAGTTATCATCTTTCTGGAGATATTTAGGACTGATGTATTTCATTTGATGCAGTCCTCTTCATACTGAACTTTGGTCATTAAATATAATAACATCTGACAGTGCCTCCAGCACCCATTATCTACTACAGAGAATTTGAGACTCCTGTACCAACTTTGAGGCTGCGCAGATCACCCAACACACTGGACCCAATAAGGTAACAACCAAGATGGCAAAAGGCAAAAATTATACTCAACTGGCAATTGAACACAGTGATTGGGAATGTAAACTGAGAGATTAATTATATTTTGTTAAATATTTCTGAATTGTGATTCAGCTCTAGTATGCTCCATCTTATCTTCAATTTACAATGCTGCTTGAATTTTTATGATTTAGTACAACACGTGATTCAGATTGACTCGTGAATGCATATAATCTACTGCACTGTTATTTAAAAGACACAAACTAAAAACAAATGTAATAATTTATAATAAATCTAACATCTGATCAACCTCCAGTCAGTTTTCATGACTAAACTCAATGTCTCACTATGTTTCTACCTACAATCATTGTCACTCACCACAGAGAAGCAGGTATAAGCGCTGGAGCTAAACCGATAAATCAGCCAGGTCGATATCTGCCAATATTAGCTTATTGCAGATACATCAGTATCAGTACATAGGTCGACCAATAAGTAACAAGAACTTTTAGAACAGAAATGCAAAACAAGGTCTGAGTGTTAGTAAGTTTGTCAAGCAGAGGGCACTGACAAGTAGATTTTTACACTTTACTATCATTGTTAAATGATCTGTATCAAAAGGTTTTTTTAAAAACCTGAAATAATAAACTCCTGAATATCAATAACAGTATCGGCCAGAAAAATCTATAAATGGCTACAGTATGTGCAGAATCAGATTCATACAGTGTTATCTTCAGGTGCTACCAATCTGTGTAAAGACAATATTTATAGCCATATAGATAGCGGCCTATTAATTTTAAATGAATATAAAGCCATTGAAAAGGGACATGGTCATTTGATTACTTAACATACATAGATCATTGTGTACCCAAAAAAGACCACACTGATAAAAAACTTAATTAAGTTAAACTGTTGCATGTTGTACTTTTAAAATAAGTATTTCTTTGTTCTTCATTTGGCAGTTGGTACCAAGTGTTTGTGCTTCCTGTAGAGGGGATTGTGGTGTTTGACTGTCCCTCTCCTGACCCCTCAAGCAAAATAAAGTCCTCAACAGAGTACATCACTGCCCAGATTGATGTCAGACATGTTGGGACAGTGATGAACTTTACTGTAGGGGATGGACTCTACTATGGAGGATTCTTTAATGCACCACTGGAGAGTGGAAGAAACTATTATATCATCTTACGAGCAGTCAGTCAGTGGAAAACGGTAGGTGCAGCTACTATAGTAAATGCATCAGACTTTACAGTTTAATTGTAAAATTACCTGAATGTTTTCTCTCCTAGGCTTTAAAAAGTTCCTGTGTCCTGTGGGCTAAAGTAAGAGGTAATCCACTGGTCAAAATATCCAGACCCTATGGTGTCATTTTTAAAATTTTATTACATATATTATGTAGATATTACATTTGACAAAGTTACAACATTCTGAAGTTATGCCAGCAGGCAACAGAAAGTATTTTAAAATGTACATTTTAAAAACAAGTAAATGTGAAAAGTGCTAGTTGCCAATTACTTACACACAGGATTTCCTTGTTCCAGGTACCTCCTATGTCCTGAAGGTTTCGTCTCTGTCTGCTGCTGCATCAGTAGGACTGGTTGCTTTGGTCATTTTGGGTGGATACAGTTTCACCTGGTATGGAAGAAAATACAATACAGTACATTACCCATCCTGTTAATGTCACTTTATTTATTGATCTATCATTACTTTAATTAATTCAAATGTTCACAGTCTAAAGCCATTCCAGCATTCAAAGTTAAAGAAATGCATGATCACTCATTTCAGTTTTAATATTATTATGTTGTATTTATTCATAATATAATAGTTATGAATTGCTATCACAGCCAGCAAATTAAATATTCCTTTTTATTTTGTTTTTGGAGAAAAAATACAATAATCCTCTGTATAGTTAGTTACATTTCACGAATGAATGACTGTACTGTAGATGTTTTGCACAAGTTGAAGAAAAACACTGCACAGGACTTCTACTTATAATTTACTGACCTGGTTTCCCTCTGTCTTCTTTTCCAGGTTTTTTAAGAAGACATAATAACTCCTACGTGCTGATGTTCTGTAATTTTTTTTGTCAGCATGACAAATAAATTACAGTTTTGACTTGCTACCTGTAGATATTGTTTTTGCTTTTTTTCATTAACTGTAAGGATGTGCACTGAATGAATGGTTATTGGATGTGAATGTTGTAACTAGAAGCAATCCTCTTTGCGGAGGAGACCATTTGTCAATTTGTGGACTTTTTATAAACCTTTTGACACGCTCACATTATTAGAAACTACACTAATGAACCGAGGCAGCAAGTGAAACCACATTTACTTTTTCTAAATGTGAAGCTATGGTTGATTCTTTGACACTGCCCTGTGTGAATTGAAAAAATGTAATTGTGTCCTGGCTCAGTCAGAGCTGGGCAAAGGGGTGTGTAAAACTGTGGATCTCCTGAAAACAACACCCTGCATGTTCCAGGGCCAATGTTTCCCAACCTTTTTAATTTGAGACCCCTTAAAATAAATTTTTGGAGTTATGAGCAGCAAAAGAGTGACTATTCATCCTAGATTGTTTCATCTGAAGAGTTTTTAAAACTCTAAAGATGTGCTTTGAGAAATTTCCATTCCCATCTTTAATCCTCTTGTGAGACATTCGTCTTGGGACACCTGGGAATATGCCCTAATGTTGGTAATGGATACTACTGTAGACTGTAATAAGTGGATTTGACAGAGTTTTCTTTTATAAAGATCACATACATTGTCTAGGAGGTAAGGTACCTCCAGGGATCATTAGAGAGATACCGGAAAATTAACAGAAAATATTTGATTAAAAATAATAAAAAGGACGGCAATCATGATTGGCTGTATTTATCTTATAATATGATATATACCTATGTCTATGTTGTAACAGTAATTTTAGTTTATTTAGATATGGGGAAGAGTTGAAGGCGTGATCCCATAAATAGTACTGGGCCTTTAAATGGGATTTGCATCCGGAGCAGCTCCCTCATTGCCCCAGACAGACACAGGCCAGTGTCCTACCGATAACAACCCACCTTTAACGGGTTTGTTTACAGCCGGTTAACAGGTACACAACACTTATTACTGTGTCAAGCAAAGTAAAAACATAGTAGTATAGCTAGATAGTTAGCTAACCGCTATACCGTTGCATGTCATCAGACAGCCTGGGAGTCAGCTGCAGACAAGGCCAAAGGGAAATATGGAGGCGACTTGTGGTTCATATTTTTCAGATAGCTAGCGACAGCTAACGCGAGGCATAGAGAGAGATAACTTCTTTGTATAAGTGTAACCCTCAGAGTAACTCCCAGGCTGTCTATTCCTCTAAAGAAAACCAAAACTTGAACGTTAGGTTAGCGGTGGAGCTAAGCTAACATTAACATGAATGTGGCCACGGTTCCGGTCAGATCTGTCAGTGAAAACCGACTGCCAATCTCCGCTTGGAACTGTCACAGTTTTACATTAATGTGTTATTTATCGACAAACCTTAGCAACACTGTAACTAGTTAGAGGGTTTTAAATGTTTTCTACACCTAATGTAAATCGGCATTAAGCTTTTAGCATTATTCAACAGTATTTCACCTTTATCGCTTAGCTGCACGATGCTTACCAGTGTTACCACCAGGGAAACCAGTGCGTTAGCGTTAGCTTACCCTATACAAGTTTATACGAATAAACTTTTTACTTGTTACCCTTTGTTTTGAACGCCGAACTGAAGAGTGGATAGTGTTTCCGAAAATATATTGAAACATAACGATATTTAATTTGCCAATTGACCAGTTTATATGACCACATTTTTGCTGGCGTTAAATTGGCTAGTTTTTAAACCGAGTCTGGCTCTATGTGCTCACTCTCATCCTATCCACGAGAGCAGCAGCACGCGCAAGGTTTGATGAGGATTATGACGATACGGTGGTGGTTGTTAATTGACGCAGGTGGTGGTGGTTATATAAATTAGCTCTTCATCTTTAATTAAGACATGGGCTGTGTCTCTAAATGTAGAATATGATTACTTGCAATGTCTATGAAGTAGAGTTTAATGTAAGGAGGGATTGCAGTTTACAGTATTCTTAGGGAAAATCTTTTGAATTTATATTTGCAGGTAAGACTGCCTGCCCTCTGAAGCACAGTAGTTAATGATACAAAATGTCAAATTCACACAATTTTAATGTGGGACTGTTCAGGAGAGGTGATACAGTTTCTATTTGTCCTAAACAGGTGCGCTGCTGCTGCTGGCCGTCGGTTCACTATGGCCCAGAACCAGGTGATTCTGCAGTTCCGCTTCGCCACATTTGGGGACTCCATGCTGCAGAAGATGAACCTCTTACGACACCAGAGACGCTTCTGTGATGTCACCGTGCGCATCAACCAGCTGGAAGTCCCTGGTCACAAGGTAGTGTTTGCCGCTGGCTCTTCTTTCTTGAGGGACCAGTTCATCCTTCAGCAGGACTCCAGGGAGGTCCAGATCTCCATGATCCAGGAGGCGGAGGTGGGCCGGCAGTTGCTGCTGTCGTGCTACACAGGTCAGCTGGAGTTTCCTGAGCTGGAGCTGGTGCATTACCTGACAGTTGCCAGCTTCCTCCAAATGGGCCACATCGTGGAGCAGTGCACTCAAGCTCTCAGCAAGTTCATCAAACCTCAGTCTGCACGCCAGCTGGAGGTGGATGTGGATATGAGGAGGGAGAAGAGGGACGAGGGTTTATCCTCCCAGGTCCAGAGACAGCAAGAACGCTCTCAGGGCTCTCAGACTGTGCAGCAGGAGGATGAGGAGGTGGAGCAGGTTGAGGACGAAAACAATGGCGATGATGACGATGATGAAGACGACGACGACGATGATGATGTGATCATACAGCCTAAGTCCCCTCTCCAGATATTAGGCAGATGTTCAAGGCAGGGTATGGTGGAGAGTGACATCACTATAGTAAAAGTGGAGTCTGTGTCTGATGTAGCAGAAAACTCAATCACTGGTCACTTCCCCACCAGCCCACCTGCTGCCCTCCACTCTCCTGAGCCCCAGCACTCCCTCATCAACTCCACAGTGGACAGTCGTGGTAGTGAGATGGCGGTTCCACCTGGTGTGGCCAGGTACCCGCTCAGTCCCCCTCCTCCATCGCCTCCTGCCGAGAAACACAGTGGGCACCAGAGGAACTACGACAAACCTCTCCAGTGGTACCACCAGTGCCCCAAGTGCACCAGAGTCTTCCGCCAGCTGGAGAACTATGCCAACCACCTCAAGATGCACAAGCTGTTCATGTGCCTCCTGTGCGGCAAGACCTTCACGCAGAAGGGCAACCTGCACCGACACATGCGCGTCCACGCCGGCATCAAGCCCTTCCAGTGTAAAATCTGCGGGAAGACCTTCACCCAAAAGTGTTCTTTGCTTGATCACTTAAACCTGCACAGTGGGGACAAGCCGCACCGCTGCAACTACTGTGACATGGTTTTTGCTCATAAGCCAGTTCTCCGCAAGCACCTGAAACAGATCCACGGGAAGAACAGCTTTGACAACGCAAACGAAGGCAACTTGCATGACGGGGGGCTTGACTTTGATTTTGGACAAATATGAAATCTGTGGACCTTTTTTTTAGTAGCTTTGTTGAATGCCATCAGTCATTTAACTAGGCCCGATGCAGAAGTTAGTCTTAAATTTAACAGTTCAACAAACGAACGCTTTATACGAAGCTGGAGCGTAGAGTCTGTTATTCTGTGTGTGAGAAACAACGATTGCATTATCAAAGATGGGCAGATGAGTGAACATGATGGCTGGTTTCCCAAAGTGTCATCCTCATCCTGATGAGTTTAACTGGAGAACATAAACAGTTTTCCTGGTCTACATTTCACTGTAGCTTCATTCATGTGGACTATTTTTTTATCTTTTTCTTTTTCTACATACAATACATTGTAGATGCCTTCATATCGTACTTGAAAATTCAGCACTGAAACACAAAACATAATGACTGTAGATCATTAGTTTTATTAATGAATTACCATGTGTGTGTGTCTATGTTGTCAAATGGAAAAAACATTGCAAAATGAATATATATTCAATATATATATAAATCATGTTCATTTGTATATTGTGTATACAGTCTACTGTAGCCTTTCTTTCTTACCTGTGTGAATATGACAACATGGACATCATAACTTAAAGAAACTTGAAAGCTAGTGGGTTGAAAAATATTTTATTGAAGGCAATCTACACCAGTGACAAATGGGATGCCAAAGTGTCTGTATGAACTGAAATGGTTCTTTTTTTTACAGATTTTATATCTGAGGTACTATTGGACCAAAGTGACATTGTATCTGTCCTGTGTTCATGGAAGTCGATGTGTGTTATGAAATTAAAAACTCCAGATCAATGTTGGTTGTGAGTCTCTATTGTTACACACCACCATTCATCTGATTACAATTCAACATTTACGGAAATAAGGTGCATCCGAAATATAAATTATAATATTCCTGATGTTGACACGTTGAAAAACAAAATTCCAATGTGATAATAAAATTGACACAACTGAGTTCTCGTGTAGATACTCATTTACAATATAGAAAAACAACCAGCACGAATGTTTGAACTGCTGCCTTCCTCAGTGTTCAGTTTTACTAGCCTTTTAATCAGTTAGAGTGTGCAGTGTGAGTATCTGGAAGTGGCATGTAAATGTGTGGCGAGTTTTGACAAAGTGTCAGTGTTTGCTGCAGTTTGAGTATCTTCAGACCAGTGAATAGATTACTGGAGGAGAACACAGCAGGGCACTTTTTGCATGTTTAAAGTGACAGCTTTACCTTCCTGTCATGCACCGTTCATACATATGAAATCATTAAATTGTTTGTTTCATAGGAAGTGTCACATGATGAAGTTATGTGGTGGGTTACACTGAAGTAAGAGTATGGGAACAGCAGTACCAGCCTGGCATCAGTGCCTGTAACAGCTGAGAGGCAGGCAGAGCTGGTTCACTGTATCACCATATCCTCCTCCTCCTCCTCCTCCTCCTCCTGAAAAATTTGAAATGTTATTAGCTACTTATATACATACATGAAAATTACAAAACAAATGTAGTAGAAATATCAATGTTAAAATACAAGCCACAGGAATAAACCTTGACGTGTCTAAACATTGTAATATCAAAGTGATATGACATTTATACATATACATTTACAGTTATTACTTGCCAATTCCACTCTTCCTTCTTTGATTGTTACATGTAACTTTAGGTTCTTATTTTATGTAACAGTGCTGCACTGAATCACCTCTGACTCACCAACTTTAGTATGATCAGAAAATGTAGACAGTTGTATTGTCCCGTCTGTACTGTTTAATTAAACCAACTATAAGTCCGCTACAGGTAGAACGTACTGAGGCCAGAGACGAGTCTGTGCAGTGAAAGTGATGTGAAAGTGATTTGAATGCAATGATTTGAATAAGAGTAGCTACTGTATGTCCACTCATCATTATTGCACAGTCCATCACTGGTGTGTTTGTGTGTGTGTGTGTGGTGCAGCCATGAGCAAGACTGCAGGCTGCTGCCAGAGCTGTCTGCATTATGTGTTTGATTATGAAACACCAAAAACACTGGTTATTCCAAGCATACGGGTAGGATGTGTCTTCAGGTTCACCCAGCTTCTGGTGGTGCTGTATGTGGTGGGGTAAGTAACCAAAAGCTTTGATGTGGGAATATATGTGGAACACTGTGTTGTGGATGTGGAAATGTGGATATCAAGCTATAAAGATTCCTGAAATGCTGTTGTAGCGAGCTACCTGTTGATTTGTTACGATTTGATTGCATTGTTAAAGTATCATTCTGCTGTAAACCTGCAGGTATGTGTGTGTGGTGCAGAAGGCCTACCAGGAGACGGACTCTGTCATCAGTACCGTCACCACCAAAGTGAAAGGTTTTGCCTTTACCAATACATCTGACATGGACCCCCGATTTTGGGATGTGGCTGATTATGTTATCCCACCTCAGGTATTTAAATATATTATTTCATCTTTATTACAGAATCACAAACCTAATGACCACCCTCCATCTTAAGTAATTACCAACGTATATAATATGGTATGTTGAGTTCCAACTGTTCTACAGTTTGCTCTACTGTAACATAATTTATTTTCCTTGTGATATCTGTGCTTCTCTTATGTCTAACAGGGTGATCATTCATTCTTTGTGTTAACGAATATGGTTGTTACCCCCCTTCAAACTCAGTCCCGATGTCCTGAGGTGAGTGATTGATGCTACGTGTTGTGACCTCCTGAGATATTCCTGCTCACACAGTTTTAGGGTGAACATTGTTTGTTGATTTTCAAGGTTGCACGTCCTAATGATTATTTTAATTATTATTGTCCCAAAGAATTGATACTAATTTAGTCTAATATGTGAGAAACACATTTCTTAAATGTCTATCACAAGTTTAAAGAGCCCAAGGCCAAGTCTTTAGATTGCTTGTAACCAACAGTACAACATCCAAACAAATCAGAATTAGGATGATAAGTAGCAGGGACGTAGTACAAAATTCTGGACCCTTTACAAAGCCCTTCTCTATGGGCCCCTCTGCAAATCCATGGCTATTTATTCTAGTGTCTTTGTGGGCTCTCCTCACATATAGGCTTACTAAGTCCCCCATTACACCCCAGACTGACGCCCCTGATAAGTAATCTTAAAAAGTTGGAACCAGCAAATGTTTGGCTAGCCATTCAAGTGGTGTCGCTCTAGGAATGGCAATATCACAATAAGGGAAAAAAGGGCAAAGATGACTTTGGTGATTGCCTTACTTTTGCCCTACCATGAAGCTGACATATTTGGTTTTGAGTGAAGGTGCCACCATGAGGTCAAAGTTTCAATTTGTTCAATACTTTGGTTTATGACCAAATACCTGCAAAACTAATGACATCCCTATTAGCCTCAGCTGTACTTTGTGCTAATTAGCAAATGTTTGCATGCTAACACACTAACAGGTAATGTTATACATGCTGAACATAAGCATGTTAGCATGCAATGTTACCATTTAGCAAAAAAAGTGCAGCATCACACAAACATTAGTGACTATTGAGGATGAAACAGTCAACAGATGTTACACCTCATATTGTTTCTATATGACAGGGTCGCCTCAGCCAACAGATTAACACTGGTTTCTCCTCCAGCTCCCAAACCCATCAACTACTTGTGTGGATGATTGTGACTGTATCGAGGGATACAGTGATCCTCGAGGAAACGGTAGGCCTTCCTCACTGGGTGGCATCAGATTGATATGTTTTTATACATCAGCTTTAAATGATGTGAGACCGTACAGAAAACATTCATTTTCATTTTTTACTCAGGTATACTGACGGGCCTGTGTGAGAACTATTCGACGACTGTTCGGACCTGTGAAGTGCTCTCATGGTGCCCTCTTGAAATAGACACTAAGCTGCCTGAGTAAGAATACTGTATATGCAATGTTATAGTATTTATAAGTAATTACAGTATAATGTACATGCAGCTTGGCATGCTGTTTCCCTGTCCCACAGACAAGCACTGCTGGCTGCAGCAGAGAACTTCACTGTGCTGATCAAGAACAGTGTAACATACCCAAAGTTCAACTTGCACAGGTCAGTGCTTCTGAATGTAAAAAGAAAGATGTGTGGAGAGAGGCATGGGCTCTTATCAGTACAGCATATGCAAACATGCTGTTTTATTGTGTGCCATTAAATCAAACGTATGTCTCCCTTCCTCCTCCAGAAGGAACATACTCCCACATATTAACTCCTCATACCTGAAGAGGTGTGAATTCAGTCGTACAACAGACCCTGACTGCCCCATATTCCGCCTCAAACACATCGTTTCAGAGGCTGGAGAGGACTTTCAAGACATGGCTGTGAAGGTACGCACAGAATTCAATATTCAATACTATCAAAATGTTCATTAATGTATAATTTACCCCTCCACACTCCATTATCTCTGTTAAATTTCAGCTGTCAGGTCTTTCACACATGATTTAAGTGTGAACTTGTCTACACTTGAACACAGTTGGTTTTATTTTATGTTTATAAAGGGTGGTATCCTTGGCATTATTATTGACTGGAGCTGTGACCTGGACTGGTGGGCAGGGAAGTGTTACCCTAAGTACAGCTTCCGCAGGCTGGACAACAAAAATCCTGTCAATAATGTGGCCCCAGGATACAACTTCAGGTGAAACCATTCATAGCAAACAGTTATCAATAAACAGATTAAGCTGGGAAAAAAAATATTAAAAAACTGACTGCTTATAGGTTTGCAAAATACTACAAGACCCCCGATGGAGTGGAAACTAGAACCCTAATCAAAGCATACGGGATCCGGTTTGACGTCATTGTATTTGGAACTGTAAGGCCTGAATAAATTTTGAAATTTAAAATGACTTAATCAGCAAAATGTGTGTGTTCTCTTCGCCTTGATATTACCTGGGGTCTGTTTTATGTTGCAGGCAGGAAAATTTGGAATTGTACCGACCATAGTGAACTTGGGTGCCGCATTATCATTCCTCAGTTTGGTGAGTACACATGTTCAGTTGAAATATGAGGCTTTTTTTGTCCCTGAAAACACAATGATACACAGAATTTGAGTGTTTTCCTTCAGGTTCCGGTGGTTTCTGACTGGTTTATGTTGACATGCATGAAAAAAAGAGATCTTTACAGCAGACACAAAGTCACATATCTGAATGAGGATGCTGAAGCTGAACCCGTAAGTGACTCATCCTTCACATTTTAAATTCCTCACTGCTGTCAGTAATAGGCCTTTTTCACAGCAGCCATTTATTTTGACATGAAAAAGTAGGATAAACACAAGTGTTCCCAATTATGCTAATTAAGGCTCCTATTTCATTCTCTTTATAATACAGATATCAATGGGCACCAGCTATGGAACCCAGTAGCATGGTCACATCCACACGTGAACAGAGGAATCTGAATCTGCTCTAAAATCATTTACATGAAAGCAGATATCTTCAACATCATATGAGCTCTTCAATAAAACTGGTTAAATGTGTAAATGTAAAGAATGAGTATTAATGCCTCTTGAGTTAGGAATCTTGAACTGCATGCTATAAATCAATACAAATAAAATAGGCAAAGCAGTGGCCTGAGAGTAAATGTTGTGACAGACACATGACTCCCCCACACCACACGGGGGCAGCATAACTTAGAGTGACAACACAACCCACACAACACAAGAAGCTCCTCAGTATGCTAGCAAGCAACAGAGAACTGAGGTAGAAGAGCCTTTTAGACAGAGGCACAAAAATGAGCTAAAATATATATATTTTTCTAACTTTTTCCCCTTATTTGTTTAGTTAACTAATAGTTGTATATCTAGCAGTGGTGTGCGTCGAGGAGCTAGCCTCTCTGTATTAGCCAACAGACTAGTTAATGATATTGTTAGCCTGACAGCTAAAGTTGCAGTTGGGCAGCTGGTCTCCCTCACATAGCATCGATGAGGAAACCCAACCCCGGCTTAAATGCTGTAAACAACACTAACCAGTCTGTCTTGAGTTAGCTAGTTGGCCGCTGAATACAGCAGAATGACAGGTGAGTGTCATCTTCACACACACACACACGAATTCAGCCATCATTGTGTTTTAATAGCATCGCCAGTGTGCCGTTTTTAAAGAGTATTACCATAATGATGATAACACCACGGGTTTTCTCAGAGGATGCCGTCTTGCTGAATGTACCTGTCATTCGGCAACTGTACCACTGGGACTGTGGGTTAGCCTGCTCCAGGATGGTCCTGAAGTAAGTATCTCACAGTCAAGTAATGTTAATCCTTTTGCATTATGTACTCAGCCAACAGCCCTCACCATACAGATTATACTGAAATGGCACTTCTTGCTAACACGGGTGCACTACAGTCACCCCTGAGGGAGTTACAGTCTCTAACTGTCCTATTTTGCAGGTACCTCCATCCAGTCAGTGATGAAGAGTTTCAGAGAGCATGCTGGGACCTGAAGCTGACTGAGAGTGTGTGGACTATTGACCTGGCCTACCTCATGTGCCATCTAGGAATCAGACACTGCTTTTGCACACAGACCCTGGGCGTTGATAAGGGCTTTAGGAATCAGGTATTTGCAGAGTCTACGCTATGAGTGCTGTCCCAAACAGATTTTAATCGTTTTAGTTCTGTGTGTGTGACAGTGTCTTTGTGGTCTTTTGCCATTGTTTGCAGTCCTTTTATAAGAAACATTTCGACACAGAAGAAGACAGAGTGAATGAGCTCTTCCTTAAAGCAGATAACAAAGGTGTGGTGGTGAAGAAATGGTGAGTTTTCTGTTAATGTTTGCTCATTTTGGACAAGCCACCTGTTTTTGCCTCAGTCAAAGTAAACCTAACACCTGAAATGTGTCGGTGCTTATCTTTTCCTAGTTCTGTCACAGTTCAGGAAATCCAGTCTCATCTGGAGCAGGGACACGTTGCCATAGTGCTGGTCAACGCCGTCGTCTTGACGTGTGAACTCTGCTCCTCGCCTGTCAAATACTGCTGCTTTCTGCCTGTGGGCCAGAAGTGTTTCTGCAGGAAGCCAGAGTACCAGGGTCACTTTGTGGTGGTGTGCGGCTTCAACAGGACTACTGGCTGCGTTTTCTACAACAACCCTGCGTATTCTGACCGTGAGTAATCTTGTAAAACTGTATTTTAATAAAAAACAGTTTAAGTATCAGTGAGCTACAGGGGGAACGTTTTGGAAATATAATGCCCAGAGATGGTGTCAGAAGTTACATCAGGACTTGTTTCCCTTTTTGACATGTAAAAGGATTTTACTTTTCTTTTTAGGTTAAATTGGTGCTGAAACAATAACTGGATTAATCGATAAATTGATAAAAATTAAAATAATCGGCAACACTGTTGACACTTGTTTAATGTCTAAGTAATTTTTCAAGTTAGAATGTCAAAAATTGTAGTTTGTGGTTTCTCAAATGTGGGGATTTACTGTTTTTCTCTTTTTTTACATGTTTGTAAATTATATTACTTCAATTTGGCTTTTGGACTGTTTGTCAGACAGAACAAAAATATATGAATAATACTAAAGTCATCAAAGTCATCAGGATTCATCAGCTGGGAACCAACAGATCAACATTGCCATCCATAGAGCTAAAAGTGGGAGAAACACATTTCGAAGATTCTTTAACTGCTATAATCTCCTGACTGCTTGTAACAAGTCTGCCAGTCTGGATCTGACGTGTGTGTGTGTGTGTGTGTGTGTGTGTGTGTGTGTGTGTGTTTCAGGGGTGTGCTGCACCAGCGTCAGTAACTTTGAGGAGGCTCGGCGGAGCTATGGGACAGATGAAGATATCCTGTTTGTCTTTAAGGAGAGTTGATGGACAGTGATGATGGATTTGAATTTCACTCTTTCCCAGCTCACCATTATAGTGACATGATGCTGCAGGTCAACGGTGTTGGACTAGTTGCTCCTCCTGTTGTCCGCTATCACAGATTCCCCTGGGCCATCCTCTCCGGTGCCAATAAGCCCCGGCTGCTCACATGAAAGGCGCCTAGCTGCAGATTCACCGCTCTCATTCCCTCTTACACAGTCAGTACTACACGACCTGTGAAGGATTAACAGCTGAGAGGTCCAATAATTTAAACTGAACTCCCTTTTTGAGATGAGCAGATAGTTCAAATGAATTTTATTGTGTCCTTTTAATTTTAATGACTGCGGTTGCTCATATATTTGGAGCCATCCAGACTTGAGAGACTACAGCGGATGAAATGTGGGAATCACGACATAGAATAAATAGGAATTCCCAGGAAATAGTGTGCACATAATTCAGGGCTGATGATGCAACATTTAGTATATCCAATTTATTGGTGCTGTTCAGTGTTGATCAGAAGCCTCACCTCCACTTGCCTTTAAAAAAATCCTCCTAACTCACCTTTCAGTCACTTTTTTCTTATGATGATTCTGTCAACAGGGAATACAGGAAGCTGTCGTGTTTTGAGAGTCTCAGGTAATTAATGCCCTAAAGTGTGACATGCGCTTCAAATAACAAAACTAGTTCAATGCAATACTCCATAGTGTCTATGGAACTCAGTCTACCTGCAGAAGAACACAGACAGTGGATTGATGTGTTGAAATCCACCAGTTTCATTCACCTCACTGGAAAAACACAGCTCAACATCTGTGTTTTGGTGTCATGGCAACATGCTGGATAGATTTTTAAAAAAAAGGCATTGTTGGGTTGTTTTGATCATGTTGCAGAACTGAGGTGTAATTTGGACTCAGTTTTGTTCTCTGTTGAACGCAGTGAATACCAGGTAATTTCCTCATTGTCCTTCAGTTTAATTTAGTTAATTTTGGTATCATGTAAACGTTTTTGCACTATGCTTTTCAAACCAGACATAATTATGTTATTTAAATTAAAAATGTTATCATGAAATTGATGTTCTGAATCTTCAATAAGAACAAACAGCACGTTTTAAACCGCAAACTTTATTTTTTATTAAACATAGAGCTGCATTTATTATATGTTGTGATTAAAGGATTTGAACATATGTCCCATCCTTGTCTCTCTTTTCTGGTACATGAGTCCTAAATGAGGCACTTCACAACTTAAACTTCATTATATACTAGAATTTTGCCAGACATTGAGGGAATAAAATCAGGGCTCGGTCCTGTGTTTATTAAGTTGTTGTAGTTATTAATATGGTAATGTCATTATAGTAGCCAGCTGGTACAATCCTGGTAATCTGTTTATTTATTCATTGTGAATAAACATCAGTACTTCAATTTTTTGAGGCTGAGGAACTCACTGTTCCTAAAGTATATTCTAATTATGAAAGTCTTCTATACAGTATATTAAAAGCACTTTACAATTTATGAGACTAACTTAATGACAATTATCTAACAAATATGTCATAATGAAATGATTTTCATTGGTCTGATAAACATTTTGTTGAATTTATCTCTTTTGGTCATCATTAAGTAAATTTGTAAAGTGAGGATTTCTGAACTCATTCTGCTGTTTGTTTATTAACTGACCTCCTTTTTCAAAAGTGGCCCCTGGACAAAGCAAGCGGAGTATCTCTGATGTAAAAAGTCCAGATTATCCAGATAACTGTCACTGAACCTGCACTGCAGGTTTAAGCTTAAAGCAAGACTAAGTTCATTTAAGACAAAACTAATTTGTCCTCTTGCTGTTGAAAAGTTAGATTCATAAGCACACTGAGTAAAAAACCCTTAATCAATTGTGACCTCTGGCTCACAGTGGCTAATCTAAAGCCAATGTTAGCAAGATAAATACTGTTATGTAACTTGTGATACTGTTACAATGCAGTTATAGCAATCAGCATTATCCCATGATTGTAACTTGTGGCTGCAGTGGACACTGTTAGCTTCACAGAACTGAAGAATCTGGGCTTGTGTCAAATCATCAATTATAGACATATAAAGAACACAGTTTGACTTTGTGAGTTGTCTGTGATAAAGTTATAGAAACAACTAAATGGAACCAACCTGACAGACAGAATATAAACACAATGTCAAACGAAATGAAAAGGACTGATCTTGTTGTGTTTCATTTCATACTTAAATGCACTATAGAGGATTATCATTTACTCCTTCACTATGTTGGGTTTGAAGTCATGTCTGACGGCCGCAGTAAGTTCATCTGCATACTCAGCATACCGCCCAGTCATCTGCAAATAAAGGTATAAAGAACAGGTAGATTAACAGTAGTCCCGGAGAGTAGATTGTCTTTTTACAACAATGAGTACAAAGCTTCCAAAACCTTTACCCATTAAGCAAATGTGTCCACAATCACTGCAGGACCAAACAATAGTAAGCCACCTTAAAGTAGGTAAAGATGGGACATCCAGGCAGACTGCTTACACGCACTCTATGCCCAGTTATATTTACCTTAAAACTCCATTTGTCACAGATTTGTCTGTTCAGGTTGAGATCCATTTCCACCACCAGTAGGCCGTCATGGGTCCGAGATAGTCCCGGGGTGCGGCTGCCGTCAGGAGCAGCCACATAGCTGGATCCATAGAAGTGTCCAAAGTCATGGTGGGCTGCAAAAGTCAGGAGGACTGTCTGTAAGTGGCACTGGAATAATTCACCCTGCCTGTGACAGCTACTCACTGACTGAGAAAGGTTATCCTTTGAAATAAACTCACTGACACACATTTAGATTCAGCAGCACTCAGTTCACCATACAAGTTAAAGAAATTTAATTTAAGTTCTAGGAAATAAATCTCTCACCCTTTTTTCCGTCACCAGATGTGAATTCACTTTTGAAATGTTCCTGTGTGAAATACAAGAATGCACTGAGGTCATGTCAGTTTCAGGGATGTGGAAGGTTTTGGGTTGGGTGTGGACATTGTGCAGTTTAGTAATCAGTGATGATGAAATGGTTACTGATACCATATTTCATTAAATTAAAATAATAAGCTTGTGATATATCTGTATTTCACCATATACAATGCTTTAAGGGACCTGCTTTCTTTGCTGTCATTTTTCATCTATATTTTTTGCAGCACTGACCAAAAAACCCAATGTGTTAAGACTACGGGTTGGCCACTTTTCTAACCAAACTAGATTTAAAAAACACCACCTTTTATCCAGAAATGTAGGACTCCTTGTCATTTATCAGAGACACTGCAGACAGACAGCAGCTTACAGAGACTGACTCACCGTCCCAACACGGTTGATTGCACAAGTGTAACAGTGGTTAGCTATCGCTGCATTCCTGGCCTCTATAGGCCACATGGGCTCACTGTAGAGAAGAAATAACATTATTGTTGATGTATATATAACAGTACAAAACAACAACTTCAGTACAGTATATGACAACAGCTAGAGGTTTATTAACACTGATGCCAGGCAAAGCAGGCAACTGCCCTCACAGCCCCAGACCTCCAGAGACCAACAGCCCCAGGTTCACTATGTGGCAATTGATTTCTGGTAACTTGATCAATTGTAACCTTTTGAGGGGAATTAAGAGGCTATGTGCAACTACGGCACAATATTGACAATATCAATTACATGTTGCCTATTCCCAAATGAATGTGTGTTCAATCAAATTACCTCACAGCAAACACAGGGCCATATAATAGGGAGCCCAGGAGCTTACAGCCCAGGGGCCTCTACCAATTGTTAAGACAGCCATGCCAGAAATAACAGTTACTCCATTTTGTCCCTCACCTGAGAGCTCCAACAGTAGCTGAGGGGTTGAAGATGATCTCAGCTCCATTCATACTGTACATGAACCAGTTGAGAGGGTGATGGCGGCCGTAGCAGATATTCACAGCTATCTTCCCAAACTGTGTCTGGAACACTGTGTGGCCTGTGTCGCCCTCCATATAATACGTAGACTGAGTGTAAAATAAAACACAGAGAACATTACAGTGAACATTCATACAGGAGCAGTGGATCACACAGGGTAACAGAAAACACACACTGACCTCATTAAAGTCTCCGATCCTGGGAATATGGTTCTTCCTGGTCTTTCCCAGCACATTTCCAGAGTTGGAGATCACCACTGCCGTGTTCCACAGAGTGCTGTGCAGCTCCTCTCGCTCCAGGATTGGAGAAACAACTACCATGTTGTATTTTTTGGCCAGCTAAAGACAGAATTGCAGATTTATTGGCCTTGTGTTCTGTAGTAAAGGACATCAATGCACTGCGTCAGACTTCTGTATCTCACCTCTTGGCAGAAACGTGTGGTGTTTCCTTCCTCAGCTGACTCTGCAAACTCCGTCCACGGTTCTTTCTCGCGGGTGCAGAAAGCAAAGGGCATGGCTGCGGACAGCAAAAGGCAGGTTAGTCTATTCTTCTTGCTGTTATGTGTAGTTCTGACTCATGAAAGCACTCACTCCAGGTCTCCTGAAAGCAGACGATGTTTACACCGCACATGGCTGCCACTTCAACCATCTCACCAACCCGGCTATGCATGGCAGTGATCTGTGGAGGGGACAACCAGAGTTGACTTTTACCGTTAGCAGTTAATTCTATCAAATGCAAAGCATCCTGTCAGTCTCTATCCCACTGACACCACACAGGTCTGTTTGCATGTGTTCTTTGTTTGGTTAGTAACATGCATCTCAGTCCACACCTGGTCCAGGATGGGGGCATCAGTGGGCAGGACTATGCGGTGCTGAATGAGTCCAACGCGGATCCTTCTGGGCGGCCTCAGTTGTTCCTGCACAGCTTCAAACCTGTAACCCTTCAGCTCAAAGTCGCGCTCAGAGGCAGCGTCCACAGCACATGCCGGGAGGTCCAGCTTCCTGTAACGGAGAAGATTCTTCACCAGTGCACACACAGTGACACCTACACCAAAGGATAGGAAGAACATTGAACTGAGCACAATGTTGTAGTCATTTGTCTCTCAGGCCTTTATTTCCACAGTGAGAAGTGAGCAAAACCTTTGCTCCCTTTCTTTGTATTTTCTTCTCAGACAGTCAAATCGGTGTGTCCAAATGCCACAGAGCAGAGATCCTGAATCTGTGACAAGAGTTTACAGTGGACTCAAACTGACTGACCACAAGACTTTCATAATAAGAGTTTGTCTTAGAGGTGAAGCAGTTTGTTGATTAATCATTTAGTCCAGTGACTTCCACTAGGGGTCGCCAAAGCTCGATGAGGGCCTTCTTGATTTTAAGGCGTGCTAGAAAACTTTAAAACTATACATAGTATGCCTATATCTCAGCATTTAGTTCACTTCTGTTAAGAATAGTAAATGTAAAGTAAATTGTCTAATAGAACAATGACTAAGCATCAGAAACCATAAAACACTGAATTTGTCAAAAAAGAAGCCTATTAAGTCTGTATGATTCTTAAAAACTATAGGAAATACATAATACAGACATACTTCTTTCGAAATAATCTGCTCAAATTTCATCCAAATCACTCATTTTACACAAATTTCTTCAGTTCACTGTTTGGGTTCATTGTACAGTTTGAATATAATATGAAATATCCATAGAATCGGTCACTAGGTCAGGGGTAGTGTGTTTACTAAAGGATAGAAAAGGGGTCCCAGAAGGAAAAAGGTTGGGAACCACTGATTTAGTCCATCGACAGTTATCTTTTTTGATAATCTATTATTTATTTAAGTCATTTTTCAGGAGAAATGCTGGTTGCAGCATCTCAAATATGAAGATTTTCTGTTTTTCTTTGTCAAATTAGTCAAATTAATATCTTTAGGTTTGGGACTGTTGGTTGGACAAGCTATTTGAGCAGTTCGCCTTGCATTCTGGGACAGGTTTTTTTTTTCAACTATTCACAAAACAAGCAATCAATTAATCGAAAAAATTATCTGCAGATTAATCGATAATAAAAACAAGTTAGTTGCAGCTCTAATTTATTCTCCCTTGTGTATTAGTGGAGAGTAATATAATACTGGAAGTCTTGACTAATACTAAGAATGTAACAAACATGCAATTGGAACCTTTTTATTGAGTAATCCTGTCTTTGCACATGTTTAAGGTTGTGTGTTGCACACTGCAGCTCAGACAGCACTGACCAAAGTCCGCTCAGCAGAACAATAATTTACCAGGAGCAGATTGAATAGAAACTGCAAAAGAATAATAATCATAATAATCATAATAATAATAGCATATGAACAGCTGAACAACTTCTCTCGCGATAACTCACTTTGTTTCCTTCCCGAATAAAATGCGTTTCACCTCTGAGAGCTCGGCCTCTGGCAGGTGGGACTCCAGAGACTTCTCCAGCGATTCGAACTCACATGCGGACATTTCTGCGCTTTTTCTTCGGGTTTGCGGCTTCGCAGCAGCAGCAAGAGCTCGGTGTCTGCTGGCAGCGGACTGTATGCACGTTTTATCATTTACTGTCGTTATATAATCCTATGTGCTTTCACGTAGTCTGACGCAAATCAGGAATTTAGGAAGACGAACCGGCCGTTGTCTGTCCAGTTCGGTCATTAATTAACCCTATGTATCCCTCCGCCAGTTGTGTGTGTGTGTGTGTGTGTGTGTGTGTGTGTGTGTGTGTGGAGAGCACTTACCTGAGTAACTCTGCAGCACTGTACTAACAGTATAATTTTGGTTTGCTGGTATTCATTTTCATCTTTGTGCTATTATTACTTCTATGAGGGAAACCTTTTTCTGCATTTGCTGACAGTTGTAGAACGCATTTGGTATGCAGATCAAGATTTTATAAAACTATTGAGCTTACAATTATGATGCATTGGCCTTTTTCACAGCAGACATTTTTGACTGAAAAGCACAGGTGTGAATACAGAGATGTCAGGACCCTGAAACTAAAGCAACTAAAAGGAATTCAGCCGTGGTTCATCTTATCACAAGAAAGATTCAGGGGGATTTTAATCAATCTCTCATACCCACCACCCCACATTGAATCTATCTGGATGGATTATATCTTGCACTTTTGCAACGTCTCTTTTTATTGTCTATTTCATCTTTTTCTCATACTCTGTTTATTGTTATGCATTAATATACCAAGGCAAATTCCTTGCATGTGAAAACCTACTTTGCAATGAAACCAATTCTGATTCTGACTTAAATGGGTTTCCCCACAAGGAATGGCTCTAAAAACACAGTTTTATATATTAATATTTGAACTATTTAAGCAGCACCACGTTCTATACTATCTGGTGAATCCACTGGTTCTCACACTGAAATGGAGTTACACGGCTGGTTAAAAGGGACCACTGACAATTAAAATATGGGATTTTATTGTCCAATTACAAATTAGCTGAGTTTCTTTGTTTCAGAAAGAGCGATGTGTCTCTCCAGTAGAAAAAGAAAACAATTCTATAATGCAAGACTACTCTCAGCAAACCCCTGTCTATTCCCTGGCAGAGTGTTATTAATGTGCAGTGTGGAGGCTGGTGAGTACTCCTCACTAATTCAATTCAATTCAATTCAATTTTATTTGTATAGCGCCATTTCATAACAGAAGTTATCTCAGGACACTTTTCAAATAGAGCAGGTCTAGACCGAACTCTTTATAACATTATTTACAGAGACCCAACAGTACCACCATGAGCAAGCACTTGGCGACGGGGGCAAGGAAAAACGTCCTTTTAAGAGGCAGAAACCTAGGACAGACCCTTCGGCTCTACGTGGGTGGTCGTCTGTCTCGACCAGTTGGGGTGAGAGAGAGAGAGAGAGACAGAGAGAGAGAGACAGACAGACAGACAGATCTGTTATATAAATACAGAATAACACAACCTTTGTTATACATAATGCCACAATAATATATCTAAAATTGAATGCCATTTTATTTTTTATTTATTATTATTTAATTTGTTGTAATTTTCCTTTGTCTTTTTGCTATTACTTTAACTGTTTTAAAAATATTTTTTCAGCCAAAGTTTTTGGTAAATCTGAAGCAGAACTTTGTCATCTTCATGCCGTATAGTTGCTCTACTCTGTCAGCTTGATGTTACATATCATTGAACCATTTTGTGAAATTGTTTTATTTAAGATCTGAGGTCTGTGACATCATGTCTGCAGTGACACCCACAGCTGTTATCTGTTACAGAAAGATGAAGCTTCCGAGCAACATTGCCATTGAGACTTCCACTGAAGTCTGAAGGTGGCGTTTTTGCAACATTTGTGGTTGAATTCGTTTGTGCAACGGTGAGACCGAAGCTATGAACAGAGTAAACCAAATCAGACATGTGTGACACAGTCAGACATTCACAGAATTTACACATTCATTTTATTGAAGACTGTGTCATTTTCTCCTACATGACTAAGACAGAAAAAAAATGTGCTAAATTCCTACATCTGATGCAGTTAACAGATTGGTTGCATAAATACAGGATCTGTTCATGTTTAAGAACAGGTTTTGTTTCAAGTTTCTACAAAAGTTATTTAAATAAATAATACCTAAAAGTCTGTCATGACTCATATAGAAACTATCTCATTTGGTGTTTCTTGTCATTTGCAGAGGTGTTTGTGCTTCTGGTTTGTTTGGCAGGACTGCTCCTCTGTGTCCGTCTTCTTCTCATCTGTCTGTCTCGCTCCTTGTCAGGGTTGGACAACTTCCTCAGCAGCTCTACAACAGAAGAGGTGACAAACTCATTGTCACAATTTCATTTTTTACTATTATTCTAAACATGAGTTTGACCAGCAGGAGGCCTCAGAGATTCACTTCAAGTCTACTGGTTGGTCAACACGGTTAAGTTTTGAAGTGTTTATTCCTGTGCTGATGGTACCTGTTAACTCAGGATGACTCTGGCTGAAGTTATTTAGGAGAGACACATATTTCCGGCCTCCAGTGTCATCATCTGAAGGGAAGTGAACATCAGTGTGTAATAAAACAGCTGGACACACTAAGACTTTGCAGACATTTCCCATAAAACAAAATTAAATATAGTTTTTGTTACCTTTATGAGCAGTAAATCAAAAGTTTGAACTCCTATATTCCCCAAATAAATGTTTCCTTACTGAAAAATGTAATACATTTTATAAAACCTTTTATATCATATTGTATATTATTAAAATACAGATTTATTTATTTAACAGACAAAACACCCACTCAATCCAACTAAAACAAGAGGCTACTTTTAAATTCTTATTTTCTAAAACTATAATAGACTTTTCACAGCAGCCATTTTGACATGAAATAGTAGGGTAAACACATGTGTTAGCAATGATACTATATAATTGAGGTTACATTCAGGTCAAACAGTCAGGGTGCTGCTATTATGCATGTTGGCTCACTGGATAGGCTCTGCTACACTACATGGAACCCTAATTAGTATCATTGCTAACACCCATGTTTACCTTACTATTTCATGTCAAAATGCCTGCTGTGAAAAAGGTCTATTAGGATTGAAAAATGATCATTTTGTCAGTCAAACAGGCCAGAGATTGGTGACCAGATGAGGTTTTGAAACCCAGATGGACTCACGGCATACTCGCAGGAGGACGTAGTACTGTCTCTCTGCCAGCACGCTGCTGGTCAGAACCAAGCTTTGTTGCTTCCCCTCCAGGTTCATCACTCTGCCACTGCTGTCCATCAGGTCCACACAGTCTACAGGAAGAATTTGAAGTTCTTTTACACAGCACTTAACATTAACATGTTTTGTACTTGACCAAAACCAGATAACAGTAGTGACTTGTAAAAGAAATGTTGTCAGTCAATAGTTGGCATCAAGTTCTCAGACTTACTATTCAAGTTATGCCATATTCATATTCAGTTGATCCACCTAGGGAAATAAAGGAACCTGAACGGTCGATGGAATTTCAGTAATGTTTGTAAGTACCTTTAAAGTCCAGTCCAGACTTCTCCTTTAAATGATGGATGAAGTTTATCAGTTTACAGTTGAGATTGAACATTTCCATCCTGCTGTCTGTCAAAAAAAATATCTTGTAACATCTTTTAATAATATACATTTCACATTAAACTTTTATAATGCAAGTTTATTCCCCCTGTTCTTGTATATTCTTGTAAAACAAACCAGGTTACTATCACACTTAAATGTAAGCAACCATATTCCACCATTCTGAAAATATGCTGCAAATGTATTCAGTCAGTTCAAATAAAATAATCTGACTTCAAATACCAGGTTTATTCCTACTCTACATCAACAGCAACATCAGATTAAGATTTTCTATTTGAAAAGAGAAATAAATATATCTAGAAACTTTACTAACCTCCAAACAGGATGGTGACAAACATTTTCAGGTCCTGACTGCAGTTAAGCTCCACCAGTACTGCCACTACCAGTATCTGTTTATTCCTAAGAGCCCAGGGAGTAACACGTTTGGACTGGACACAAAGTACAACAATAGAGGCTATTAAATCAGGGTTGTGGTCTGCCTTGTGTGCCATGAACTGGCATACATAATGTAGAGATGGTAAACACACACACACACACACACACACACACACACACACACACACACACACACACACACACACACACACAACCTCCTCTTATTCTGCTTTTCAAAGCTGAAGCCTTTTAAATGAGGGGACAAGGGACCGCTGTTGCTTGTATCCATGGAGTCTCTACACACAGACAGACTGGCACTCTGGACTTTATAGTTGTTGGACAGTGATGTCAAGACTGACTGAAAAAAGAGGCTTTTTATTGTTTCCCGCCACAGATTGGAACTAATAAATGAAACAGACCAAACACTGTTTCTACTTACTGTAACACCTATGAAGGAGATTTAAATCCAGTTTTTTTTTTCAAAATCAGCAAATGTGGGGTCACAGTGGCCTAATCCGTGCTTAATGTTTGAGAACCACCAAATTCCTTAAAGATCCCCTCCAGACATGTATTAAGACATATACTATACAAATACTAGTAATAGTCTGCTTGGAACTATAATGTGTGTCTGAAATATTTTTTCCACAAAAAAAGTATAATTTCCAGATCAAATCCTTATAAAGGCATCTCTTCCTTCTACCTCATTTATTCAGAATCTATATATATGCAAATTTAGTCAGTTATTTAACTTTAGTTCTTTCTAAGTTTCCCTGCTGGACACAAGATGTCTCCTACTTCACTGTAAAGTTCATTCTCAGTGGATGTGCACTGGTGGCTTCATGTTTCTACATCACACTGTACAAGTTGTATACTGGACCAGGACTGACTTCCTAACTATTTGTGATGTCACAAAATATGCTGGTAGACCCAGCCCCTTAAAATCAGATATTCAATGAGCGCAGAGAAATTTTCCACTTTCAGCAGATGAATGTGAAAACATCCTTCTAGAGTCAAACTCTGCAGAGACATTCAAACATCACACTGTAGGAACAAGAACAACACATTTTTGAGTGGAGGGGGGACTTTAATTTAAAGCAACTATAATTGATATTTTTATAATAGTAATGTATCAAATGACAATGTGAAAGGGGTCTCCCCTCGTCTTTACAGAGCTTTATATATGTTTAGCTGTCCAACTTTATTGTTTTGGTTCACTCTTACCGCTCTCGTAGTGTCATTTTTGGCCATAGCAGAAAGCTGTTTTCAAAGAAAGAGCTAAAAAAAAAAACCTCTGTATTCTACCTGCTCAGCAGTTAGCGCCCACTCCCTGGTGAACATTTTGCATGCCAAAGAACCACATTTTTCATTCAGGACTTGGTAGAGACCAAAAAGAGAGCTAAAAGAGTGAATATTGGAACGCAGTTAATGCTAATGTTGCTCTGTAATACTGGGTGTCAATAGGTTTGTCATAAATTTCCATTTTTTCTACGGATTAACGCTAAATAAACGATAAATAACATTTTATTAGTGAGATTCATTCAGACAGACAGGCGGACAGAGCCAAGCCAGCTGTGTTCCTCTCTTTCCAGTCTTTATGCTAAGCTAAGCTGATGCTACTAATCTTGTCCCCTTACCCAGCAAGAAAACAAATAAGCAAATTTCCAGAAATGTCAAACTATTCCTTTAATATAAACTGTAGATTAAAGCAGCTTTCAACAAAACACACACATCCATGGCTCTTTTGCAATGGCAAAGTTTGGATCATAACCTTGATGTGACCCAGCTGAGGAGACAAGATATTGCCACACAGGACAGCAGCCGAGCACGAGGACTCGGGAGGTCTCTGCGGTGAATCTTTAAAAAAGCACTAAAGCTCCCCGGGGAAGCTTTCAAAAAGAAGTAGGCCCTGTGCCCTGTAACCTGAACTCACAGGGGATTTGCGATAAAAGCTGGGAAAATAAAGAACTCCAAAGATAGTTTGACTGCTTAACTAACCATTTCCCAGAATGAGCAAACCAGATCTCTGATTCAGTTCTATAGACTTCTAGATCTGATATGAAACATGACCCTGCTTGGTGGAAGTCAAATGGGAAGCCTGGAGGGGTTCCTACAGCTACTGAGTAATAGCTGGGAACATTTTGTGGCCACTGCTGAACACAAATACAGTAAGTGGACTTGTAAATGTAAAAGGATTTATTGAAAGACAGGATTCTGTGATAGCCTGTTCAAGAGAACACAGAAGGCAATAGCTGCACTGGACTGAGGATGAGTTCAATGGGAAAAAACACAACTTCTAGTCTAATCATTCACAATCCTCTTCAAAACATTTCCCATCAGTCATCAAACTATCTCAGAAATCAACATTTACATGAACATAACTTAAATAAGAATACAATCAAGTCACATTGTCACAGTGAGCAATTATAAAACAAGATTACATTTCAGCACTACATTACCAACTTTGGGGTTTTTGCATTTTAAAAGTGTGAAATATATGATTATTAATGCAAACATGAACCCATGTGTCACTGATTAAGTTTTAGCTTTTCAGTCCAGTTAGAAACAGCATGGAGTCCGCAGGGAGCCATGATGAAACTGGAAGATATGTACATATCTGCCATGAAGCTTAATTACAATACAGTTTGGAAAAGTCAGAATGTGAAAAATGTTTAACTTTTGCAGATGAGCGTGAACGTTTCTAAGCAGGTCCTCAGGATAGGGTGAATCTAAAAAGGGTGCAAATTATGGTGCACTACTGCATAAGAAATAATCCTCCCATGATGCCCACGATCCATGGTAGTGGTATAAGGTGAAATCCATCAGAGTGCATTTATGTCCATATCCCTGAAAACAGTCAATAATTTAATATTATACATTTTTATCTGCAGCCAAAGGCCCCTTCAGACCAGAAATGGCAGGATGAAATGTAGTCACACACTGTGGTATCTTGGTTCAACCTGCAGTTAAACACCCTGTGAAGGCAACAAAGTGCATATGTACTGAACTCTAACTATTAACAAAGAGGAAACAAAAGCATTTAGCAACTTCTATGTTGAAACAAATGCAGAGCGATTTCAGATGAGTGAAGTGTCTGCACCTTAAACACAGAAGGGTTGGTTGCTCAGTAAACCACTCTTGGTCATGTGGCGAAGCTGCACCACATCTTTGGCCCACTAGCAGTGATTTAGACTTTTCGTCTGGTTTAAATTAAAAAGTCACTTAACAGTAGAGATTGAAGTTTAAATCTCCGTAACACTGGTTGTCTGTTATCTGTTCACAGTGCTCCTATTTCTGTGGATCGGGACTTATCCTGATCCTTTGAGAGTTGCGGCTGAGGTTGACATTTCACTGCAAGGCTCCTGAATACTAGTGAGGGGTCCCTTGTGGGCCTACGTCAGGACATCTTTGCCAGCTCAGTAAAGCAACTTTTTCTGTTCTGTTTGTCGAACAGCGATGCGACCTGGGCAGCACCAAGGTTCTGCTTGTCCTTATCTTCCACCACTTCTGGTCCAGTGCAGTCATGCTGCTCCGCATGCTGTAGATGATGACCTATGGGGATTTGAGTCCGTCTGAGGGTTTGCATTGGACAAGGGCCCATTTTCGGACAGTTGGAGATGACGACTGACAGAGGGGGGTGGGATACTGCCACCAGACCGCCCCCTACAGGAGAGACTGAAGTAGGGCTGTTGTAGGAGCTTTCACAGCTACTGCTGCTGTGTTCAGTGAAAAGGTCAAAGCTGAGGCCGTTTGCCTTGAGTCTGATGGAGTCAGTGATGCTGTTATGGGTGGAGTTGCGCATACTGCTGCCAGTCTCAAACAGCTCCCGCTGGCCCAGGATGTGACGGCGGATAATCCTCCGGAAGGTTTGTCGGAACTCCCGAATGCGGTAAGCGTAGATAAAGGGGTTGACCACAGAGTTGCCGTGGGAGAGAATAATGGCCACGTACATGATCCAGTTTGGGGGGCGATCACACTGAGGGCAGAAGAGGGTGAAGCAGTTGATGATGTGTAACGGCAGCCAGCAGACTGCAAACAGCCCAACAATGATGGCTAGAGACTTGGCAGCCTGAACCTCTTTCTGCAGCGTGGAGCGCGACTTCTCTCCATGAACCGCTTTCACCTCCATCAGCTTGAGCTGGTGGCGAGCGGCCATGAAGATACACAGGTAGATAGCCAGCATCAGCAGCAGGGGAATCAGTACGCAAGCAAAGAAGTTAAAGTAGACCATATACTCCATGACTACCACCCCCTCAAACAGGCACTCCATCAGGCCAGGCGGGCAGGTGCCGTTGTCACTCTGGAAACGTTTGTGCCAGCCCATCATGGGGGTCAGACCGATGATGATGGATAAAACCCAGCAGATGGCGATGATGCCTTGTGCCCGCTGGCCCGTCACCAAGCTGTTGTACCTGGAGAGGGAGATGGATCAAACATCATGAGCCAGCTCTGTCTGTCAGCTCAAAACCCTCTGCACAGCCATACTAAGACATTTAGTAATAATAATTCTCATAAGCCTTTGTAAACAGTTTATGAAGTTCCCCTTGACTTATAGTTTGCTTAGCTGATTGTTCCGTGGTAACACTTCTCATCCCGGAACTAAAAGGAGAAGGAGGATAAACAAACAGTCTTTCAGGACTCCTCAAAGGAAGAGTCTATTTTGAGTATGCCTGTAGCACAGTGTGGGAGAGCAGCTGAGATATTTGGCTTGTTTCTATCACATTCTTGAGATGTTAAAGTGCAAAGGTTAATAATGCAAAAACAAGCCCCCCCCTTCTGTAATGCAAAAAACAGTGCAGCGAAACCCTCACGTATCTTCATCAGGAGGAGGAGGCTGTGTGAAAACAGGAAGGCAGAGCCCGGTGTGGCTCTGAGGTTTAGTGTTTGGTCACAGCTTGAGCTACAGCATCACTGTTACACTAAATGTATGTAGATGTTAGCTAATGTGAAGTCTGAGCTGGCGTTCAAGATACAGTGTGACTGAAGCCTTTTACTGTAAAATAATACAGTCTGATTACACAGGGGGTTACACAGTCTGTATAAGCAATTAGAGCACTATTCATTTGATTGCTCCAGGGAGACACAGTCTTTTGGGAGACGCCATTTCTGGACACACTTATTCAGCCAAGACTTTCTGGTTCAAATGTCAGGACTTCACTGATAGATAGAAATGAAATATGTAGTTTTATTGTGAGACCTCCGCAGCCTGGACCAAGAAACAGATTAGACTAAGCTTAAAAAGAAAGAGAAAGAAAAGTTGTGGCACATTTTAAATGCACTCTCCCTGTTTAAGAATACCAAATAAAGTACTTTAGGTTCTTATTTTGTTTCCTAAAAGATATCTTTCATCTTTTTCTTACTTTTCAACCGTGCTTAATAACTTTTAATAGCACATCCTTTGTAAAGGCCTTATAAGATAAGTAACTAGAAGTCTTATTTATAGTTAACAAATAATTAAGTAATGCCTTTTAAATCAATTATTAATGGAACTATTCAGGAAAACAGTTAGATTTTTGAGTTGCCAGTTTGCCAACAGTCCATTTGGTGATTTTTAATGCAGTTATAAATGTTTGTGAACCATTAATTAACCATCTAATAAACCATATAGTCTATAATAGTCCCTTTATAAATGTTGTCTTATTATAAAGAGGAGCCAAACTCTGCTGCATAAAAATATCTACAGCCACACAGTTGTGTCCTCTGGGCCATGTACCTGAGCGGTAACTTGATTGCAATGTAGCGGTCTATAGCGATGGCCAGCAGGCTGAAGATGGAGCTCTGGGTGAGGACCAGCACAAAGCAGGCGATGAACAGGCAGCCATAGAAGTTGGAGCAGAAGCCGGTGCTGATGACGATGGAGAAGGGAATGGCCAGGACGCCCACGGCGATGTCGGCCACTGCCAGCGACACCACAAAGAAGTTGGTGATGCTCTGCAGGTTGCTGTTGAGGCACACCGCCCAGCAGACCAGCACGTTGCCCAGCACGGAGAACACAGCGATCAGCAGCTCCAGGACGATGTAGAGGACGTCCGGCGCTGCGAAGACGTCCGGCATGGTGAGACAAACGGCGAGGTCACTGATGAGGAGGGAGGAAACCTCACCTCAACAACCATAGCTGCAGCCTGGCAACCGCTGAGCTCAGCCTCCTCACCTCCAACACGTTCAGATGCATCCAGCAGATTCCCCAAGCAGCTGTGGCAAGTCCCTCACACGCACTCTGCTCAAACTGCTGAAAAAAAGGCTTATTCGACTTCAGATGGAGCTGTCATCTCTCCTAACTCCACACACAGGACGCAGTTGCCTCCATTCTCTCCTGGTGAAAAGCTCCTCTGCTGTCCTCTTCCCTCAGGTCCTTCCCACCAGCAACTTTTTCCCATGAACTTCTTGAGGGGCTGAGATGGTGCCAACAACGCACATCACTGGAACATTATGTTGGTGGTAAAGACAGATAAAGAGGTGCAGAAGTAAAAAAGAGGAAATGCTTTTACAATAAGGAAGTGGATTTCAACAGACACACACTTGAATCAGATATGTTTCAGAGCCAGACGTGGTGCAGGAAGTGTCGAACATACTGTGGTGCTAGTTTATTAGCCGAATGACTGACTTACTTGACTATAGCCTCATAAAGACAGACTCCAATCAATAAATCTGTCCTTTTAAAGAATAAATATGTCCCAGAATTTCTTTTAAATCTTCACACTTTTGAGAGGGTTTAAACATCTGGGGGAAATACTTAATACGGTGGACTAATTCAAAGATGTCACTAAAACCATCAAAAAAACATTTTGGGGGAGTACCCTTGGTTCAGATCCGGCCCTGGGCCCTTTGCTGCATGTCATCCTCTCTTTCCCCGCCTTTCCTGTCACTCTCTACTGTCACTATCCAAATAAAGCAAAATGCAAGAAAAAACAACTATTTCCGTCTGCAATAATGGTCATGTGAGTGTCCAGTGTTGTGGGACTTTGGGCTGCTGATGTCTTCTGTAAACAGCCCCTCTTGACCCTGCAGAGGAGCAGTGGGAGAGCGGTTTGTGTGGACTTCATTAGTGTCAAATATACACGTAGCAGAGCCCCCAGCATTTCAGTGTGACAGTAAAGATTTGGAAATAAAACAATTGATTTCTAATGCCACCTTTCGATATTTCTACTAAATGCTTTACTAATGTGCCACAATAATGTAAGTTCAGATATCTTCATTTGGGGGCTTTCAAGAAAATATGGATATATGTGATGGTTTCTGCCACCCTATGAATATTTCCCTAGATCCACCCCTGTCCAGAGGTCTTTCAAGAGTAGCCTGTTGGTATATCACTTGGCTGCAGTACAGAGACAGTGGAGAGCATACACCTTCTCATACCTCTTTTGAAATTACTGTAGAAATAGGTCACAATATGTCATCTATCTTGAGGAAGTCAAAATAGGGCATTTTAGCTCACTCTTTGCAGCTAGTGCTTGTTTTGTAAGCAGTAAATGTCGCTCGATAAATGTGTCTTATTCTTCATCTTCTCAAAGAAAGTTTAAGAAAGCAATTCTTGGAAGTTTGATAAGTATGACCCCAAGTCTACCAGTGAATCACACTGTAGTTTGATTGCCTGATATCTGTGAGCCATCGGCCATAAAAGGCGTAACAAACAGAAAGCTGCTGTTCGTGTGGTGCTGAATTCCCTCGGAGGGAATGTTTCTTGAGGTTATGTCTAGTTTTTGAAGATAACAGCTGTGCTGGAACACAAAGATCTTTGCTCTCTGAGTCAGGGTTTTCCCTTTGGGTCGGATGATAGCGTTTTATTAATACCAAAGACTTGTTATTTTAAGCTTGATAGTTATCAATAGTTTTTTTTGTTCATTCCATTTGACTTACAAATAAAGTTTTTGTTGGTCTTTTTCCTCTGAGCCCAGGGTATTTATTTGTCTTGATGTCAGATACGTTTGGTGTTATATTGCAGTGCATTATCATGTTTTATGCAGCAGCGGTGCGTCATAAAACTAAAATCCCAGAGGACAGTAAAGGAAATAATGAATCTCTATAAACTATGGCAGTGCTTCTCCCATGCTAGCAGTGCATCCTACAATAACAAGCTGTCCACAGATGGAATTATGAAAACACACCAGAGGAACTCCAGGGATTCATAGTGAAACAAGGAGGGTCTATCTTAAGGACTGGCTTAGGTTCACATTAGCCAATTTAGAATTTTGCTCAGAAATTTAAATTTAAAAGGTATCATGGACATGATTGAGATGTTTTGCCAATTGAGGATTAAAAGACCATTTACAAGCCTATTAAAGTTAAAGTGAATTTCCCCCAAACCTTGTTACGGCATCGCTGGAAAAACAACAAATTGCCTCATCATCCTCCTCCTGCCATGCAGAGGAACAAACATCAGACCTCTCAGCTTCCTGATAACAGACACTGTCACTGTGCCGATGGACGCTCAGAGTGACAACATGACTGCTGGAGGAGGGGTTAGGCTGATTATCCTCTTGCAAGAGTCTGTCCAGCTGAAGTGTCCATGAGCTAAACACTGAGCACACCACCAGCTCCAGGAGAGCCTCTGAGAGTGCCCTGCACCATGTAATGTAAAGTATAGCAAGACAAATTCATGCTATTAACTATTGACTAGAAGATCCTGGGATAAAAACAGCTGTGGGCCCCCAGTGACTCCCTGTTTGTGGTAATTTAGTTACATTTTGAGAGTTAGTTAGTTAGTTGCCCATACTCCAAAGCAAATTCATAATTAATCAGAGAATGAACGAATGTCTAGCTGTAGTCCAGCCTAGTTTGGACAACTTTTTCCTCTCTATAAAAATGTTAGTGCTGAATATAGTTAACGAAAAGCCGACCTTTTGTTACCTGTAATACTTGTTTTCCTCTTTGCATCGAAGAAGTTTTCTAGATAAAAAGAGGCTTAAACATGCAGTTGATTACATTATGTGTCAAATGATTTTTTTTTTTGAGAAACTGCATTACCAGTGTCCAGTGTGTAACATTTAGGAAGATTTATTGGCAGAAATTGAATATAATATTCAAAGGTGTGTTTTCATTAGTGTATAATCACCAGAAAATAAGAATCCTTGTGTTTTCTTTAACTTAGAATAAGACGCTTTTACCTATAGACGCTGCGGGTTACCTTCCAGGGTGTCTGCCAGGTTTTTACAGTAACCCAGAATAGACAATCCAAACACTGGCACAGAGACTTTTCAGAGAATTTCACAGACACTAGTTTCTCCTAAATACTCCACAGCCGGTTCTCATTCCCAGGTCATCATTTACTAATGCGAGTGATGTTCAGTTAGTTTCAGTCTGCAACTTCACCGCTAGATGCCACTAAATCCTACACACTGGTCCTTTAAATAAAATATAAACACAGCATTGCAGCATTATTGTTGAATTAGTTCTTCCTCGAGTCTTTGGTTTGTCACTCAAACTCACTTTTTAGAGCTTTAATTATTTCATAATTAAGGGGGTGTTCAGTAGGGGCCCCTACACTTTGCCCCCCTTACAGCAGGATCCGGCCATGTTATAAGATGCTCAACACCGGGCCCACGTGGTTCACATGTTCAGTCATAAACCGGGACCTACAAGTTTGTTTTTATCTGAACATGAGGTTAAGAAGCTAAGTTTAAGTCTGCCAGAACAGCAGGCAGCAGGAGGGACCTCCAGTCCTGTTGCACCCTGGTGAAGTAAAGGTACAACTGCACCCCAAGGTACCCCAGCACCCAAAGGTACCCCAGCAGGACAGCACGGACACAGGAGGCGCCTACAGGAATGCTGTGGGGACACTCACCGCAGTGAGGTTTCTCCTGATTGGTTTTGTTCTCACGGGTGAGGAAACCTAACACCCAATGTAGGACACCTTGTAACAAACCCTCTTCAGTCCGTCACACAGGCTCCAGCTGTGCGCCGCACACGTTCACATGTTAGGATCGCAGGCGTAAAGTCTAACCAAACTTAATATAACGCACAAATACATTGAAGTTTAGAAGAATACATGTAATGGAAAAATATGTAAAGTTTGCAGAATTGAACTTTTTTGTCAAATATGATGACTCACCTTTTCCCCTCGATGTCCGACGCGCAGAAGGTAGATTTCCGACAAATATGAGTGAATACCTGCTGGCACTGTGGGACAGGAGGGCGCCTAAAATCTGACGCAAGTGATCGTCTTCACTTCCCAACGAGCGACAAGAGTGAAACAACGATCCACCCGCCTGAGTTCAGTTCAATCCAGGCATTAAACACACTGTCCGATCAGTTCCTCCTGCACGCAGTGAGACAAATAGCACCGCTCCTGTAGTGAATGACTTCAGACAGATGAGAGTCGCTCTCTCTCTCTCTCTCTCTCTCTCACCCTCTCTCTCTCTCTCACACACACCTCCCTTATGATTGTGCCTCTGTTTCCTCTCTAGGGGTGGATCAGTTAGAAGCTAGTGGTGTGTATAAGTCTGCTGGTGACACACATTGAACTTGGTGTTATCTGTGTTCAAACCTGAGACAAGAGTCCAGTAATCCACTTTATTTTAGATATTTCCTTACAGTGGAAGACAAACAGCAGTTATTAGTCAGTGCCAGAACCCAGTCACAGTCTAATGCCCGTTTAAATGAAATGCACCATTTAATGATTACTGTGAGTTTACTGGAAATGTAACTTATCTGCTATTCCTTGAAACCACTTGCTGAGACAATAACGACAAACAAACATGGCTGCTTCAATGGTCTTTATAACTATTGCCAGAAAAAATAAGCAACATAAAACCAGACAGCATATTTTTTTTTACAACTGATTATCATTGTAGTGTGCACTTAATACTGTAGCTTAGTCCCTTTACACACACACACACGCACGCATGCACGCACAGACACACACACACACACACACACACACACATTTATTCATTCAGTTTTAACTTTGCCCAGGGATCATTTCAGCACTGCATGTAGTGTGATCAGGAAAAACAAATATTCCACACGTAATCAAAATGTGGCATGGTGTAAAAGAAAAAAAAAAAAAAAAAAAAGGCAACATGGAAACAAAAAGACAAACTAAAGCAGGTTCAGTGGAATTCTCAGAGCATTTTCAAGTAAATAAAAACAAAATATAGAGTGATGAAGTGGACCCAATAAAGACACAATGCACTGTTCACATTTGCTTTGCTCACTGTGGTAAAGCTTTACACTTAAAGGGCATCGTCTCAGGTCCCAAACAGTGTAACATGTCCCTCATGTCTGCATCATGTGGAGGTGGAATGTGCTTCCTAGCTTTTGCCAGCCGTCTGGTTTCTCCTCAGCAGGGCCGGGCTCAGTGTTCATCAATCACTCCACATCAGCATGCGCTGGACCTCGTAAAGTCCCAGGATCACTAAAGCGTGATCAAAACACATTCCACATCCACGATGGAGAGGCTTCAAATCTCTCTGTAGCTCTCAGTGTTCCTGTCGGGAACGATAAAAGACGTGGGCCAGCGGTGGAATCAAGCAGAACACAATAAAACTGTTGGCTGATAATCCTCAGCATCATGGCATCACAAAACCCTATCAACAGAGAGCCAGTGCTTTCACACGGCATTAAATAACTCACTCGCACTCTCTTGTACACAAAAAACTTTCACTGCTGCAGGCTCTTGTGCTAACTTTGTATCACTAAATGTCTAATGCGGCTGTACACATTGTGGTGATGTGTCTTGGCAAATGGCACGGCGGGATGTGCTTCTAAATCGGGACAAAAATGTTGCTCCTGATGTTGCTATTGATACCAGCTGGCAGCCTCATCTGATCCAAATCAAAACAGCGTGTAGTCACCTTCACCAGACACAGGAGGGGATACAACCAGTTTCCCAAAATGGTTCATGACCCATCGCTCACTATTAGGGTTTCTTAAGAGGCACGAACAAGAAGAAGACACGTGCCTGGTAAGGAAAGATAACCGTGGTTTGAAATGTCACAGTTTCACTTTCTGAAGCCTCGGCTAAACTGTTAAGGCAGGAAATTAGTGTGAAATACAACAATCTCAGTGCAGCTACTTACTGTATGTGTAGTAAATTCATATACACTTCAGACACACACACAAAGCAATAACCTCACTACAATGACTGGAAACCATGCAAATAAATACAGTGAACTTGTTGAGGCACGATAAACACACGGCACTCACACAGCATTATATGGCAACAGCCCTATTTAGCATTTACAAGCAGTACATACACCTTTAGTAAGTGGTTTATAACACACTATAATGTAGTGTTAAGCAGTGATTATTAATGGATTTGTCAACAACTGTAACTCCTCCTGTGGGAACCCTTAAGTGGAGACTACTGTATAAACAGATAATGAATGGCAAGTAAAACACTGTTGTAATAACATAAATAAGTCCTCATAGGAGAAGTTATAATTGCTGACAAATATTACACATTAATAAACATTCTAGTGTGCTATAAACCATTTATTAAATGTCTAAATACTGTTTATAAATACTAAATGGGAGACTTAAAGTGTTGCCCACGGACTGAAATCGAACAACCTAAATGACATTGTGTGCTACAAAGTATCTCTATTAGTAATAGTTAGTCATACTAGGAATGTCAAAAACTACCTGTCAAACACAGCATCAGTATTAACACACAAAAGAAAGCCAATGGCACAATGAATTGTCCGATCACTTGTTCATACTTTGTCATTTATGTGCAAAATAAATAGTTTTGCAACATTCGTTGATGTTGAAGGAATAGTTTGACACTATGGGAAGTACACTTATTAGCTTTCATGCCGAGGGTTAGATGAGAAGATCGATAAGGCTGTGCAGTAAATATGAAGTTAGGGCATGCAGGTGATGAGCTTAGCTTAGCATAAAGACTAGAATCGGAGGGACACAACTAGCCTGGCTCTATTCAAAAGTAAAGCAACAAATATGTCTACCAAATCGGTCTACCTAGCAGTACTAGGTGGACTTTGTTACCTTTGGGCAGAGTCAGGCTAGCTGTGGCCCCGATTCCAGTCCTTATGCTAAGCTAAGCTAAGCTGAGCTCCTGGTTTAGGCTTCATATTCACAGTACAGGCATGAGAGTGGTATCAATCTTCTAATCCAACTCACTGCAAGAAAGTAAGAGTATTTCCCAAAAAGATGAACTATTCTTTCAATGAGAAGCTGAATCGACTAACAAAAGTGTGTCTTCACCATTGAATATGTCTCTGCTGGTTTCCAAAAACTACAGCATATTTTCTCAACAAGTCGTCGCTGGGTGAGACGCTATTTTTCTAATTCCCAGGCTGAGAAAGTTTAAGGCTCTCTGATTCAAACACTTACATGTCAATCAAAATGCATTTTATCAAAAAACTGGATGCTACTCGCTTATGGTTTTGGTTATTATGAAACAATGCTGTGTGCTCTATGTGCCTAATGAAAGAAGTCTAAGTGCAAGACAGCAAATGCAGGCCTACAAAATGCAAACACTCACATTATACGGTTTAGCGTTCAACTTCATACACATCAAATTAATATTAGTCCACCTTCATGAAAAACCATCGTAAGTGTGATGCTTAACAAAATGTGGAGTAACGTTGTAGAAGATAGCATATTTCTGTGCTTGAAAAGCAAACAGTCACTCGCGTTCAGATGCTGATGTAGTAGCTGTCTGCAGCATCGGTCCGTCCTGATGACCAGTAAGCCAGAAATCAACAATCAAAAGGCTCTGAAACATATTTGGCAACAACTCCTCCAATCTGTAGTGAAAAGACACTGCCTCTGTGGAGGACTGGCCCATAGAGAGAGCTCATATCCTGGTCCCCTGCATCAAAACTCACAGGCACTTTATCCATTGAAATCGAGGCATCTGTATCGTAGTGTAACGTCTGGAAGACTTGGTGCAAAAAGGCTGCGTCTGCCTGAATTCCTTTCAGAGGGGGTTTTTAGGGTTGTGGGGGAATTCCAACATCACTTCTGTTCGATTTGTTATTCTGCAGAAGCTGATGTTCTCCACAAAATATTCACAGCCAACAAAAGAGAAACACATTGTGACTATTTAGGAAAATGAGTTTGCAAAGTAGCTCGCTGAAAGTCAGATTCGCAGGAATTCCCCGTTAACAACCTGAAAACTGGGTTGACTGTTAACTTAACGGAAATATTATTTGCCAGGAAATAGCCAGGTAGAAGGCACTGAGACTTGGTTTCTTTATCATGCTGCTCCTTCAGACGTGAATTGGATTTGGATTTGGATTTGATAGCTGCTCAGTTCATACTTGGTTCACCAGGCTTTCACCAGTGTTACTTCTCAAGGCTTACTAGTGTAACAGCAGACATACAGGTAAGCCCTTGGACTACAACTCTACACAAAGCGCCTTCCACGCTGCGCCGGGAGTATGGAGTAGCTGCGTGTGTCCAGTGAGGTTCTGGTCTGCCTTTATTGTTGCTAAATACTGAGAATCGACATGCAGCGTGATTGCGTGTTTCTGGGGTATGCGGGAGCGGGGTTAGTGAGGTATAACAGTTGACCGTGGGGTTGAGAGGTTGCTGAGAGCTCTGGAGGGCTGGCGTGGCTCTGATTGTGCTGCAGGAGCAGGGTGGGTGAGATGGTGAAGTCAGGTCTCAAAGTACTTGTAGATGGCTGTGACATAAGTCATGACGCTTTGCCAGTCCGGCCTCTCTGTGTGCACCATCTCATTTATGTCCTGGAATGGAGAAAGAGACGGTTAAAGAGGAAAAAATACTGAGGATTTCTGTCCCACCAATAAACATATTTTAGATAAAGAAAACAAAAGAATAAACCTCATTCATAATTCGTTTTTTGAGTGTATATGGAATGGGTAAATATGAGCTACAGCTTGTTAGCTTAGCTTAGCATAAAGCCTGGAAACGGGGTAAACGGCTAGCTCTGGCCCAAGGTAACACAATCCACCTACCAGCACCTCTAGCGCTCACTAAATAACACGTTATATCTAATTTGTTTAAATCAACACAAAAAACTAAATTGCAAGTTGAAAGTGTTTGACTATTTCTGGGCTGAATGCAGTAACTTCCTGGAGTCCTGTTATTTCTGTGAGGTTGCCAGGCAACCAGCAGAGGCACTGTGAAATCACAGCATGCGTTTTTGTACTGCTGTGGCGGTGGATTTTGTTACCTTAAGACAGAGGCAGGCTGGTAGTTTCCCCCCCAATTCCAGTCTTTATGCTAAGCTAACCAGCAGCTGGATGCAGAGTGAGCAGTGTCAGTAGGTGAAATGTATTTACTTTATGGGTTTGAGGGGCCTATTAAAAAAGAATGGAAAAAAAAAATATTCTGGCATCAAGAAAAATATGAGGGACAATAAGGGATAATTTCTCCCTTCCAAAAAACCCCATCACCCATGTTTCTGTACACA